TTAAGTATCTCGATAAAAACCGGATCCTCTCGGAGAAGCAGCACGGTTTCAGAATAGGTTACTCTTGTCTCACTAACTTATTAGTGGCTCGTGAAAGCTGGTGCGCTCTTTAGGACCAAAAGCTACCTGTAGACGTCGCCTTCATTGATTTCAGTAAAGCTTTTGACAAAGTTCCGCACAACCGGCTGTTATATAAGTTAAGAAAAGTCGGGATTGGAGGCAATTTATTGATGTGGATAAAAGACTTCTTAGTTGGGCTTCAACAAAGGGTAAGGGTGAACTCAAAGTTATCTAGCTGGGAAACTGTGCTTAGTGGGGTGCCCCAGGGTACAGTTTTGGGGCCAGTGCTATTCCTCTCGTATGTACATGACCTTCCTTGTCTCCTATCATCATCGGTCTTGCTATGTGCTGACGATGTCAAGATATGGAAAACGATACGATGTAAGAGTGATAGCTTAGAACTTCAAAATGACCTGAAGAAGTTATCTGAATGATCTCAAACATGGCAGTTGTCGATAAATACTTCCAAGTGTGTTGTGATGCATATCGGTCATCAAGGCACAGATACATACACTATGAATAACACTGAGCTACCTGTCGTCCAGACATATAATGGCTTGGGAGTTATCATTAGTCAAGACTTAAAGACTACTGCACACTGCTGTGAAATAGCCGCCAAAGGTTTTAGAACCTTATGGTCAATACGTAGAGCTTTTAGTCATGTCGACGCTAAAACGTTTTTGACTTTATATACAGTGTTCGTTCGTCCTAAACTTGAGTACTGCATACAAGCGGCTAGCCCCTGTTTAAAAAAAGACAGTGAGCTTCTGGAAAAGGTTCAAAGAACGGTGACTAAGCTGATTCCCAGAATAGCGAAGCTTCCGTATGAATCTCGACTGGCCAAGCTGAACCTTTTCCCGTTGTCACATCGCAGAACTAGAGGCGACTTGATTACAGTCTACAAATTGCTTAGTGATAAATTTGCACCTGATATGCCCTCATTTTTCTTGTCTTCCAAAACAGAGAATTTACGAAGACACTCCAAAAAAGTTCATAAGCCGAGAACAAATTACTTGTCAGCTGACTATCGACTTTCCCATCGAATCATCAACGAGTGGAACTCATTACTTCAGCAAGTGGTTGAGGCTCCATCTGTCGACTCTTTCAAAAGAAAGTTGGATCAACTGAGAGCCCACCATTGCCAGGACTAACATAGGCCATCGAGCCTCCCGTCCTTCCCAAACTGAAACTGAAACTGAACCATTTAAACCCAGCGCCTTCAGCCAGGCCGTGTCCAGTAAAACTAACGAAGTCAGCATTAATGTTGAAGACTTATACAACCACTTATTTAGGGGATTTATTCACTAAATCTTATAAACAGGGAAAGAAATGAGACCGTTACTGATCAGGTTTCTGAGGGATCGATATGTGATAATGATCTTCCTTAATTCCTCCAAATGCGACATTGTGTTTATTGACATAGACTTAAGCTGTTAACCGAGATGGATACTAAATCATTGATTTGTCAGTTAAACTTAGAAGATGAAGTTCATTGTTTGAATATGATAGGTAAAATACGTATATTCTGGTGGTTTATTGTTTGCATGGCTCAGAGGATAATACGTAACAAACGACCAATTCAAAGGTGACGTTACACAACGATGGTCGTTAAAATTACCAAGGAGGATGAAAGACTCTTGGAAGAATACAGTCAAGCAGCTTCGAAAAGTTCTGAGAAGCTAGTTTACGTTAACGCAATTATGATATCTTCGATTCCTATCTGTATGTTGTTAAAATCTAAACCTAACTTTACTAGGGTTATTTTGGGGCGTTCACAAAATGCCTCTGATAGCTAATTCATTCTTGTATGTAATCATTTCACTGGCCTCAACCTTCCTCATATCTATCGCATACAAAAATTCAAAAACGCCTTTGATGGAAAAGTGATTATTTGTCGTATCATACATTGTCTTTAGGATTGCTATCCGTCGAACCGAAGCAATTACCAAAGAAGTCAATAACGAAGCTGGTAAAGACAAAAAGTTGTCGAAGAAGAACAGAGAAGATGTGTAAGTGTGACTTTTAATTAATTTTCTCAGTGTCCGTGAACGAACTAAAAAGGTTGCTGATTACGAATCTACGACTTTCTCAATATTTTACAATAATTGTCTATTTCTCCTAGTCTTACTGTTACTTTCTGCCGTCCTTCATCATTTCTCGAATCAAGTGTATCCTTTTAAAGTGTTGCCAGAATCGTTCACATAGTGAACAATACCTCATGCGTCATTTTGTATTTTTCTAGTTCATTTTCTACTGTGTTGCTATTTTCTGGGAAATTGATTGATAGAAACCATTGACTTAGAGGATTGTCTGTAATGCTTAGTCGTTAATGACCGTGTTCTCTTTTTGAACTCATCTAACACAATAACTGCGGTCACTATCCTAACGGGTGTTGAGTGTCGAGTATGTGAATGTGGACTGTTCATAAACGACTCATAAGGCAAGGCATGGGTTTTATTGCTTTGCCTTTTCTAACAGTACCATATGGTAGAATCCTGTTTTCCAGTTGCCTAATGTCCTGCTTGTATTCGGTTTCAGCTGTATTGTCGGGTGGTTTGCTTATGAATGAGCTCTTTTACATCTTACCTTCTCTGTAAACATAAAGCACTTTAATTTTACCTCGACTGTTTTAGTTATAATCAGGTACGTGTTTATAGTTCATAATCGTCGTGCTTAGATGAATTATTAGGTTGTCCGTCATCTGATCAATCCCACTAGTCATTTCACATGAAAATTTTTAGCTTGCTAACAATTTTACGATTATTTGACAACATACTCTGTTTTTGACCGCAGTAAGTCTAAAGGTGTACTATGATACTTAACGTTCGTTTAAAACGTGAAAGACCACTAGCTTGTTTTTCTTTGCTTTTTCATCTCATTATCTTCATTTGGGGTAGTTGTAAAATGAAACCGAGTTTCAAAGTTTGCTTAGTGTTTCATAATATCAATCACAAGGGAATGCTATTACCAAAGTAATTTACGTATGACGAGATGTAGTTTTAATGTTTTCCATTTCCTTAACTAATAAATTAGGAATTACTCTGTATCGATGTTACTCGCTGCCGGCGCAACTGCTTTCTTGTCATCCGGGAAAGGATCATTTTGATTCCATTAGTAATATACGCTTTTCGAAATGCTTGCCTTCTAAAGTCGATTGTGAAAGTAATTTGATCCATGTTAGTAAAAGTTTTATTAATGTTGTGTATATGTAAATTATCAAGATTTCATTTCATTGGAATTATATGCTTTGTTGCGTTCTAAAACTCACATCGTTTGCAAAACATACGTAGATTTTTCGAAAAAGAAACGGTTTGGTATGCATACATCCCAGTGATCTGTGTTTTTCGCAAATCCACCACATAGGTCTTTACATATATTTTTAGAAAAAAAAGAAACTACAACACAATAAATCTCATAATTCTAAAAGCAGAAGTAAATCAGAAGTGAGGTCTAAAAACGAAATCAGTATATGGTAATACAGAGAGTTAAATCAGGACAGAGGAAGCGATGGTCTCATGTCATCTGACCTGTATACGTGAATCACAGTTTTTTTGGCAGATCTCAACTTAGAAACACACCTCTTAGACCGATAACCAATAACTTTATAGATCCCATATCTAGGTTCGGAACATACCTCTTAGTTCAATAACAATGAGTAATCACGTTGAAAATTGTGGTTGAATCTCACAGTAATTATCTGGAGTCATTGCGATATATGCTACTTTCGCGTAGTTTTTTTTGCTTATGCAGTGTAGTTCCTAATCTTTTATTAATATGACTTGCAACACTGCTTCAGTATTCACCCTAATGATTTGAAATCTTTAAATTGATGTAATATGGAAACTTGGTCCAAAGCCCTTGTACTAAGTTCTACTTTGCTTATAACCACACAGGTTTAGACAAAATAATGAGGTATGCTGAAGACTATCTGAGGTCCGAAAACCTAAAGACTCCATAGTTTGTTATAAATGTTTCATTCTTTTAAAAGTATGCAAACAATGGCCTACAGATGTGCTTCTATGTGAAGATCCTTTTAGTATATGGGATCACTCCTAACGCTAACTTACTTGGGGTTGTAGAGGCGTAATTTTTGTCGTCTTCTAGTAAATACTAAGGCTCGGTCTTTCGACCCGTTTGTAAATTTGGTAAAATCATTTGTGTAAACGACTATTCACAAGCTACCTTCCCTGTGCTCTAATTTTTCATCTTGAAATATCATGGTTCTGGATCATCAATTAACAGTATTAGATTATTTAAGAGGGGAAACGAGCAACGAGATAAAGTATACGGTCTTCGTAGCAATGCACAGTGTGTACTTTTGTAGATGCACCCCTTTTTAACACAGAATGTAGTAACTTTGAATTTTTGAATCGCAGTGCAGTGGTCTCAGATGCCATATTTTGCGACAGATTACTAAAGGAAATGTCAGGTAATACATGGATAACCTAACGAAAAGTATTCTGGATTCCAAAAGTAACGAAGAATGAATACGACTACACTAGTGTGTATAGTTTGTACACATTCACACTTTTCGACTGATGGTCTTTAGAATTCTTATAATTTTAAACTGGAGTCCAAAATCGTCCAGACTAATAATTTGATTTTTTCAAAACATTACGCGAAGTTACTACAGAATTTGGGGGAATCTGTTTTGTTTATGGAGACTTATAGGGTTTATTGTATAGGTGTAATGAATATCGGAAATTAATCTCATTTAACTTTTTCTGTTAATAACTGGATTAAATGATGAGAGTACTCTCTTGATACGTGAATGTATGACAGACTGTTCTATTAAACGTGCAGTCAACGTATGTGGATTCATTCTGAAACCTTTGGCGCCACATGTTATACAAGATAGTTTCCGTCTGACTACTTTATAATTCAATGTAGGATAAAGCATTAAAAGCCAGTTTTATGTTAGATAAACTGTATTATAAAACTTATTTGAAGTGTTGGAGTAAAAATATACATGTAAACGCTTGAAAAACTTTTAAAGATGTTTCCTGGAAAACTGACAAACGCTCATAAAAGGTTGATCCACGTTCCTGTAATATCAAAATAATTAGCAAAAAGTAAAATGTCCGTTATGATATTTGTTTGCAGTCCTGTATATCTCGCTTCAGCCCAAACTTGTGAAATTCATTCTCAGCGTAGACCAGAGTTAAAACCTACTTAAGTGGATTGCCTAGTGTCTAATTTCCTACAATCTGCGTAAACCATTGCTTAAAATGTAATATTCATAAGTTGAGTAGTGTTTCACAAGCAACATCGTCTTGGAACAGTGGTGAGATATTTGTTCACAAATATTTGAGTTTAGTAACACAAATCTACGGAACCCAGGATTAAGGGGTTTATTTCCCCACTAGTTTGGCAGATTCAGTGTTAGCTCAAGTTTTTTATAATAAAACCAACCACTCATATTTAATCGAACCCTTATTACGGGAGAGTACTCGTTCGTCGATTTTACTAAACAAAGTTCCATCTAGACACTCCCATGGTTAAGGGCTTTTTGATTTCACTTATAAAACTAAATAAGTAACTTAAGGGAATACTTTCAGTCCTATACTATAAATCTATCAAAATAACTTAATGTAACTTACATTTTGAAAATTAGGTTGGTTGCATTCTTTGAATAGCCAATTCATCGGCCTCTTCATTTTCTTCCATCGTATAGATATCTTTATCAAGTCGCCTTAAATTGACCAAACAAACGCGAACTTCTAGTCGGTAATCTTTGACATCATAAACTGGATTATCTACAGATGGTCAATACACACCACGTAATTATCAGATTGAAGGATAAATTAGCCACTAGGCATAACTTTCGAAAATATTATCACAGTAATTTATACGACTACTTAGTGTGGATGCTTATCAATTTTTAATTGTTCGGTCAAAATAACAATAATTAAGCAGAGGATACGTTAGTAGATGTACAGTTTAACATTAAACTTATCGTTAGTACGTGCAAATAAGTAAAATACTGGTTTAGAGGAGCGTAATGGATGGTGGACAAACAAAATTAAAGAAATTGGTAATATATTCTACGAAGAAAGAGAATGCTGGGTCGGAGTCTAGTAGCTTAACTTAAGCCAGTCAAACTTTTTAGTAGACACTTCCTCCAATTTACGGTTCACTCATATGACTTTCCAACACGAAGTAACTTTATTAATCAACATCACAGACTGATCCTACCAACACCAACCACATACGTTTTATGTTTGGAAATCTTTAGTTCCAAAACTTCTAAATTAGATAAGTTCTTAATTTCGAGGTAGAAACATCTTTGGCGATCGAAATAATACTATTAGCGATATGTGAAAATCATGCTAAACTAAACAAATAAGGTGTCGACAAGTCGTAGATGTAGTGTTATTGTTCCTAGCATAGACTCTGTAGCTTCGATCAAAAATAGTAGATTTCTTATGACTTCTGAAATAATAGCGAACATTGAACTAAGATCAGCTAGTGTCAAGCAAAATATAGGAAGTAAAGATATTTTGTCTTCATATTTACAATGTGAGTTCTTAAGATGCTTAAGTTTTAGGGACAAACTAGTAAACTTTTTTATATCAGCGACAAGATTTAGGACTATCTCTGGAACTCTGATATCGTATTGTTACGATATAAGATAACATGAACTCATGACAATGAACATTTAATAATGAGATGTTCGATTTAATTTTGAATGTAGTCTCTAACTTGCGCAATTCGGGAAATGCTTGATCATTAGTTTATAATGATTATTAAAGGGAGGTATTATGTGTAAATATTTGATAAAGTTACCTGTTAAAATCACTGTACGTAAACACTGGAGGTTAGATAGTTTCTTTATTTCTTCTAAACTGCCGATTTGATTTTCCCTATGAAGTAAATAAAACAGTCTCGTTACATTGACATGAGTAGTGTTTTCATGACCAGATATTCATTATATTTGAGATAGTGATTTCAAATTTCATTGCATAAATTCTGTCTCAAGAAGTGAAAACGTTTTTTAGTTGACCAAAAAACGTTTGGACAGTTCGCAAGCTTGTCTGGTTTCCTAAACAAGTACATTTCTTTTGGTTAACACAACTGCCCAAATCAGAAAGTAAGGATTGAATTTTTGTAAAATCAGTAACGGTTGTGTTTTACAAAATTTATCTTATCTGTTCTTCATTATCATTGTATTTTAATGACATGAGGCCTTACATTGTGGATTGGTTAGGAATTAAAAAAAACTATTGATATTAACATTAAACCAAATTTGGCTAATATATTTGATATAGTCGTATACAACCTTTGTAATACAGGCCCATTCCCGACCGAAGCTGCTACCTTGACGCGGTGGTCGGGCTTGCCTATCGTGATGACCCAACCGAGCTATATTGGCTGGAACATATGTTCCTGTAGGTTCTACCATGCCAGGCAGGTCGATTGGAGAACGGTAAGACTAAAAGCAGCAACTCAAGGTCTGAGGGCGAAGTCGTACTGGTGACCGTAGAGGGGTGTGACAGCAGTAAGGTGTTTCCCTCGGACAACCAGCATCTGCAGCGATGCTGCCTTCCCACAAGGAGGGGTGGGGTTAGAAAAGGTCAACCCTAAAAATGTCACACCTCACCTTGCCTCACGGATTTCCGTCTCCGGCGGTAAAGCCCTTTGAAGAACGGAGCTAACACATTAGAAACCTTCCACGAAAAGGCCGTGCGCGACCGGCCTCAAGCAGTTGTCCCTTGGGCTCTGCGGTCACGCTCCCAGGTCGTTAAGACCAACACTAATCCGACTTCTTTTTCAGGTTCCTCAAGAAATACCCTTCCACGGTGTGGGCAGCCGGGAAATGATATCAGCCCTCATACCCGTAACAGCGCACGAAACCAAGTTGGTCACATTCAAATCCTTTTTACACCTCCTAATATCTCTCTTATCTCCATGACTAACCCTCCTCATGTCTCTTTATCACCTCGCACCGCTAGGGCAAACCGTTCGAGTACGCGGAACGCTATTCCTGGTCTCCTGAAACCACGCCCTAAACTACACGTAGGAGCTTTTAACGTCCGAACACTGTGCCAAATAGGACAGCAGGCTTCCTTAGCTAGGACTTTAGAATCCCACGCCATCGATGTGTGCTGCGTCTCCGAAACGTGCATACAGGACCCGAGTAGCGTCATTCACTTGACCTCACCATGCCAAAATAGAGAACCGACTCGATTCACACTTCGTGTATCTGGAAGCCCAGATTCTGCTTCCCGTGGCCTCGCCGGCGTAGGTATAGCATTGAGTCCTAGGGCAGAATTAGCTCTCTTAGACTGGATCCCAGTAGACAGTCGTTTGTGCGCTGTCCGACTAAACGGAACAGTAAGGATCCGAAAAGATAGGGATACTCGTCGTCGCCTCTTCATCGTCTCTGTCTATTCTCCCACTGACTGCAGCTCAGATGATGTAAAAGATGAGTTTTACGGAAAGCTCTCCGACCTTCGAAAAGCTAGGCGCTCGGATGTAGTAATAATGGCCGGTGACTTTAATGCTCAAGTAGGTAAACTAAGCGAAAGGGAAAGAGACCTAGGTGGATCTTATAGCATCGTGGCTCAAAGAACAGATAATGGCGACCGTTTGTTGCAGCTATGCCCAGACAACCGCCTGTTCCTTGAAAATACTAACTTTGAGCATAAGGAAAAACATCTTTTAACATGGCGACCCCCTAATTCGTCCCAACGTTGGACCCAAATAGATCACATCGCTATCAGCCACCGATGGAGGGGCTCGATAGAAGACTGTCGCTCATTCTGGAGCACATGCTTAGATTCAGATCATGCTCTAGTACGAGCGCGTATCTGTCTGCGTCTTACTGGACGTAGGAAAGACGCTGCAAGTAAACCTTTTAGGGCCCTACTTAATGATAGTCAAGCTAAGAGTATATTTCAGGAACAACTAGGAAAACAGTTAGACAGCCATGTATGTGACGCCCACCCCGAGGCAGCATGGAATGATATCCGAAAAGCTGTGGAAACAGCAGTGATATCTGCTAGTAAGGTAAACCGCAAGCTTAAGGAGCAACACTGGATCTCAGCAGCATCTATCGCACTGATAGATGCTCGGAAACTCATTCCACCTGGCTCTGAACATAATGAAGAGCGGAGTCAGCTTAAGCGCAAGCTGACAAGAAGTCTACACAATGATCGTGAACAGTGGTGGGTAGCGAAAGTAAGAGAGATGGAAAAGGCAGCGGCAATAGGTAATAGCAGACAATTGTTCAGACTTGTTAAGGAGACCGGCATTAGGAAACCGACTGTTAGCGAAACACTCTCAGAGAAAGATGGACATATTATACATTCTCAATCCAGGAGATTGGATCGATGGGCAGAACACTTTAGGGATCAGTTCAAGTGGCCTTCAGCCACACTTCGGTTTCCCACGATCTCCAGTCAACCTGAATGGCAAGTTAATGCAGGTCCTCCGACTCTTTACGAAGTTGAAAAAGCTATAGGAAATCTGAAGCGAGGGAGAGCAGCAGGCCCTGACAGGTTTACTCCTGAGATTTTTAAGGATGGGGGTTCAGTATTAGCAGTGAGATTAACTGAGGTCTTAGGTAGAATTTGGGAACTGGACGTAATCCCATCTGATTGGTCTCAATCACTGATTGTGCCAGTCTATAAGAAAGAACAAAAGTCCTCTTGTGACAATCACAGAGGGATCAGTTTGACAAATATAGTATCTAAAATATTAGCTTCAATAATACTTCGACGCCTAACTAAAGCTTGTGAAGATGAGAGTAGAGAAAATCAGGCTGGTTTTCGACCTGGACATGGTTGTATAGACCACATATCCACACTATGTCAGGTCCGAGAACACAGACACACGTTCAGACGCCCCACAATGGTAGTATTTCTCGACCTTAAGGCGGCATTCAACTCTGTCGATCGTAAGGTTCTATGGCAGTGTTTGTCACTGAAAGGAGTACCAAAGAATTACATTAATCTTATAAAGGCTCTCTACTCCAACACAACTGGTAGAGTGAGAGCTTATGGCCAACTGTCATCAGAATTGATTACCTCAAGTGGTGTTCGTCAGAGCTGTCCACTCTCTCTATTCTTGTTCAACTTTGTCGTCGACGTAATTTTAGAGATAACATTTTCCTCGTCTAGATTTCCAGGGGTTGAACTTCTATCGGGAGGTTCACTTGTTGACTTAGAATATGCTGATGACATAGTTTTATTTGGCGAAGACGCTGACAAAATGCAGAGTCTTCTGACCACTCTAAGCAACAATGCAAGCATGTTCGGGATGCGATTCTCCCCCTCGAAATCCAAAATGTTGCTTCAGGATTGGGTTGCATTGACACCCGAACTAATGATAGGGAGTGAAGTAATTGAGCGTGTCGATCGCTTCACTTATCTTGGAAGTCTCATCAGCCCTTGTGGTCTGGTGTGTGACGAAATCTCAGCACGGATACAGAAGGCTCGACTAGCTTTTACCAACTTGCGTCATTTATGGCGTAGGCGAGATATCCGTCTATTAACCAAAGGACGGGTTTACTGCGCAGCAGTTCATTCCGTCCTACTTTATGACAGTGAAACATGGCCGGTAAGAGTAGAGGATATTCGTAGGTTACTAGTGTTCAATCATAGGTGTCTTCGAAGCATTGCTCGTATATCCTGGGACCACCGAGTAAGTAACGCAGTTGTTAGGAAACGGGTACTAAGTAAGGATGGCAAATCCATTGATAAAGTAGTAGAACTTCATCAGTTGAGATGGCTGAGACTTGTGTTACGTATGCCCAACGACCGATTGCCTCGACGTGCGATGTTTTCTGGTGTAGGAGTAGGTTGGAAGAAAGCTAGGGGCGGCCAGACCAAAACATGGCACAAGTCCATGAAGTCACTGACAAGTGGACTGAGTCATGTTGGTAGGTATAGACTACATGGTTGGGGACCGCGAGATTTTAGCAACCGATGATTAGAGACCCTGAATGACATGGCTCAAAATCGTTTGCAATGGCACAGGTGCATCCACTCTTTGTGTTCTCCCGAATTTTGATCTCCTTTTTCCTCCTTGTCTCTTTTTTTCTCTTCCCAAATTTATTTCACTGTATTATACTCTTTAAGTAACATCTCCAAACACTAATCTTCCCGATTACTGCTTTTACTCTTATCACCTCTACCACTACGGGATTTGAATCGACCACTGCATCTTTGTGCTAACGTGGTGTGGCAACTCGAACTGATGTACGTACGTACGAAGTTGTACGTTGTTACTGACTGACTGACTGAATACAGGCCCATTGGCTCTTAACCTTTGGCTGTGACAACAGTACACTTCACGTGCTAACATTACATCGAATATCAGTCTGACCGGTCAAATGTGTTGTCCAAAATTCATAATGCAATGAATGTCGAGACTTCAAGCCTCAGTGTAAGCAATGGTACTTTTTATATTGAGCTAGTTAGATTATTTGTCAAAAAATTTTGATATAACAGGGCACAAAAGATATCTCTCAGTTGGTGACAGTATTTTTAAAATCTGGACCTGTGCAACGTTTTAGTAAGTTTAAAAAAGGATTCGTATTGTATATCAAGGTGTTTGAAAATTGATATATATATATATATATATATATATATATATATATATATATATATATATATATATATATATATATATATATATATATATATATAAGCCTATCGGTAGTTTATATATTATTAGCAAACACAAGCCAGTTACGCGCACCTATGATTTGGCGATTTGTGTTTTGCCCACTGTTTCAATTTGTAATAGTAATCAAAAGAGTTGCGAAAGTTCTAATACATAGTTTCGTTTTTGGTATAAACAATACTTCAATAGTTTTTGTTTGAAATATTAGTTTTTATCACTCCAGGCATTGTAATGTATGTGATTATTTTAAGACGCTTTTCAACGTTGAATTCAACTTATATTACATCAAGGCTGGAACTGCATTTCACCTATCTTAGTTCCACAACTTGCTAGCATAACTCCTCTTTGCACACAAAATGTGCCACTGGAAACCAGGTATACAAATTCAGACATCTTTCTCATACTCTCATGTAGTACATTTTATCTGACTTACCTAACATTTAAATATTCTAATCTTGGTAAACATTCAGGTGTTATTCCATCCAGATTGATTAACCCACTACTTCTTATGTGTAAAACAGATAGATTTGGAAGATATCCAATTAGGGAATTGTAATTATAAATTTGCCCTTTTTGATCATTAGTAGTGTATTTTAGTTCATTTGGTAAATTTTGTACATTTCCATTTTTTAATTTATAATTTCCAAAACTAATTAGTTTGTTATAACCAAGATATAATGCTTTTAGATTTTTCAATTCTAATCCAATCGCTATATTGATATTAGAATCAGTTATTGTAGTGTCTTCTACCTCAAGTAAATTATGTGATAATCCGAGAGTATGCAATTTCGGTACACTATAATCATTTAAATAACATGATCCATCAGTTTGACTGGTCAAACTACGTAACTGATTATCTGTTAATAAACATAGCAAAAATAAAACAAAGATAGCGATTTACGATTTTGAGCTATATTGTTAAGATTTTACTTAAATTAATTGAAATTTTATTAATCCAGATCAACCCATTTTGCAGATAATTTTGATTACATTTTTATATCAATCGGAGTTCTACTGATAATTGGAGAGTAAAACAGATATCTCGTTTTCAATTTTATCTTGTCATTCAAATAAGTTAAATTTTTCCTATGTATATAACAGGACACACTAACTAAGCAATTTACTTTATGTATGGGAGTGTTTTAAACCAGTTTATCAAACAGAGATTGTTAATGTATCTTGAAACTTTTCTGATCAGACTAGGTTGGAACCAAGAAAAACAATGATATGGGGATTTACTTCTGACGACCAATAAAGAAGTGTCCAAAAAGAGACTAATATGATACCAAAAGTTGCTTAAAAGCAACAAAGCCACTCATTACAAAGTCGTTTTTGCTGGATAAGAGAATAATAACTCAGTTTTCATTCCTTTTCCGGTCCCAAAATACAGGTGTGGAGATAGGCATGACAAATTTATTTTGAAAATAGTTTTCGATGTTATAATTATTTATTCTGTAGTTTTTCACAGCCTGTAAATTTATCATTAAACGATCGTACGTGTTGTTTAAGTGCATGGACTTGAACACACTTTCTTCCGTCGTGTTACACCCATAGCATGACACACGCTGTTATCTACTAACAAATACACTACTATACACATACCTCTTGTTCTCCATTGCTCGTGATTGTGATAACTGAACTATAAATCACCCACTATCTACATTTATAGACTGCAGCCAAATTTATATTATATTCTATGCTTGGCTATATCCATGCAAGGACAACAATCTTACTGGAACCACCAACCATCTATAATTGTGGACTCTGGTACCAAACTCAACCTGAACACGCACAAACCAGCTGAACTAAGTAACGTGCCTAATTTTTATTGTGTTTATAACGTTTAACTGATATATATTAACATTACTGTTTGTACTCAATAACTCTGTTATTATTTTTGAGTTCATATATTGTTTGGTCCACCACAATTATCTGGTGAGCCTCGAGTCTATTCTAGTCGTTATATTGCTTATATTTTTTACCTGACACATTAGTTTATTTTTCATATAGTGTACTCGCCAAACAAACTAATTGACATGGACTGTCCTCCGGTAAATTCTCTTAACTCATCACATTCCGACGATAATATTTTAAGTTCAGTTAACGCCATTTCTGAATTCAGACTACCTGCATACGGAGCTAACAACCTGATGATTTGGTTTGCCCAAATAGATGCCTTATTCATAGCTAGAGGTATACGCTCCCAGGCAACCAAGTATGTCTACGTTGTCGGTGCACTTTCTATTGTCCTGGTGGATAGTCCATGTCAATTAGTTTGTTTGGCGAGTACACTATATGAAAAATAAACTAATGTGTCAGGTAAAAAATATAAGCAATATAACGACTAGAATAGACTCGAGGCTCACCAGATAATTGTAGTGGACCAAACAATATATGAACTCAAAAATAATAACAGAGTTATTGAGTACAAACAGTAATGTTAATATATATCAGTTAAACGTTATAAACACAATAAAAATTAGGCACGTTACTTAGTTCAGCTGGTTTGTGCGTGTTCAGGTTGAGTTTGGTACCAGAGTCCACAATTATAGATGGTTGGTGGTTCCAGTAAGATTGTTGTCCTTGCATGGATATAGCCAAGCATAGAATATAATATAAATTTGGCTGCAGTCTATAAATGTAGATAGTAGGTGATTTAGAGTTCAGTTATTATAATCGCGAGCACTCTTTAAACAGTCTGAGTGAAATATCGCGCATGATAAGTTACCGTGTACCTGAAGTGCGATACTGGCTGAAATAGACTTACGTTAACTAGAAACCTAGGATGACTAGATAAAAACAGCAAAAGTCAATAGAACAACTGGTTGTAAGGTTTAGAAATTTGCAGTATATAGTTGAAGTTTCTTGAATTAGTCACTGGAAAGTAAGTTCATGTTGATCAGAGTAGGACAGAAAATTCCTCAACTACTTATTTATTTTTAATGATAATCTATGCTCTAGCTTAATCAGAATCATTCCAATGTGTAATTTATTTCATCGATATTGTTTACCATAATACTAATAATAGTAAATGTATACGTTTACTTTTGAGACATGTGTAGTTTGAAAAGATATCTGGAAATACCTGGGTAAACCAAAGAAAAATGAAGACAACTCAGCGAAAAGTTTCTTTTCGACAAAAACATTTACTTAGACTGTACATTCGTATTTATACTTACTTGGTAAGGATATGAGATATAAAAGATTGTATTACAAAGTGATTCGATATTTCAAATACCAAAAGGGTTTGTGTAATAATCAGAGGGTCAATGAAGAACAAGATGAAAATAATTCTGGCCCGTAGACTACTTTCATCCTCCTCTTCTTCATTAACCCTCTGATTATTACACAACCCCTTCTGGTATTTGAAATATCGAATCACTTTGTAATACAATCTTTTCTATCTCATATCCTTACCAAGTAAGTATAAATACGAATGTACAGTCTAAGTAAATGTTTTTGTCGAAAAGAAACTTTTCGCTGAATTATCTTTGTTTTTGTTCAACGACACCTGATTAAATAATTGTTTAATGTTTTCGAGTAAATTGTGTCGACATGAATGCCCTTAAACCCTGATATGTCATAATTCATGACTTACTATCGCTTTGACATTTTGTACCATAGGGAGAACAGAGTTTGTTTGAATATAAAAAAGCATGAAAAGACCATTAACATGGATTTAAATGAGACTTAGTGCATATTGTAAAGGAAACATTTTCAATACGAGAACCAAGGGACCTACAAAATCTGTTCGATTCTCTCAGAATGACTGCTTTAACTGAGCTTCCAAATGCTCCAGTCAAGACTGAGTATGGGGAGTCAGCTCTTTCTCGAAATACTCTCACATGACCACGGGTATATCGCCGCTGCCAGGGAAATCCTACTTACTACCTTCTCGTGGCGTGGGTGTTTTTTATGAAATTGGGAGGACTAAAAGCGAATGTTTGGTTCTTTAACCGGGTTGGTGGATACAGAAGACCCATTTAAGTGAGTTGGAAAACCATGATTTCAAGCCAGTGGTGCATATGGGCTCCAGGATCTTAAGGGATCAAGGGGCGTATGAACCAGTTGTTGGTCACCGGCTACCATGGGACTGCATCTCCTAACGTTTCTCCACTGCCTTGTGGATTAGACCGTTAGGTCAAAGGCTTGAAGAGTGGCCCTCTAAGGAAACGACTCGCTTCGGTTTGGGCATCCGGGCTGTATCCCAGCCCACACGCAAATCAGTTGGTTTGTGTGGAGCATATATATTTGGTACCTCCTTGTGCTAATTTTTATGTGTTTAAAGAAATAAATAAACTTTAACCGACAACCTAACGTTTTAGGGAATCATATTTCGCCACTCAATAGACACAGTTACCTAGTTTGCTCAGATCGTCCACTATTGACAAAGCAGTCTGAGTAGGTAAAATAACTTGCTTTTGTGCCGTAAGATGATCTGTGTATTTGACAGAGATATTTTCAGTAGAAAGAAGGTCCTCCTAAAAAGTATGAAGAGTTTCAGAAAATTGGCGTCAGTGAGTCAAGTTACGGAGCACTTTCTCACAAACGACATGTTGCTTTCTGATTAAAAATATCTGGAAAATTGATCATTCTGCATCGAGGTTTTATCATGAGCTTATTAAATTTCAATGGTGCTAAAATAGTGATAATAGTGTGTAAACATAGATCAAACATACTCATCACCAATATCTAAATTAGCTGAGACATTATCCCGAGAAATAATAGGATTATTCAAATTGTTTGCTTTGTGTTTGTAACCAGCAAAGGTTTGATCGCAGATGATAATCGTTTTAAAAAATAATGAAACTATCTTCACATCTTGGTATTCATATCTTGTTAAAACACAAAAGGACCTGGATACTCAGTCTTAATTTGTTTCCATAAAATTAAAAGACAATCTATTATGAATTCGCTTATCATGACCCAGCTACTCTTATTACTTGGTAATCTTGGATACTACTTCATTCGACAAATCCTCAAATCAGAACACGGTTGAACAGGAAACTAATCATATTTCAAATAACAAGGTTGGCTGGAAGTAGTGATACCAATGAGAAAAGCGTAAATATATATTTTTTAAATAAGAAGATTCTCGAGTCTTCTCTAAGTATCCGTATTCGTTAAGAAATAGCCCTGCACGTAATATGCATTAATCCTATCTATATTTTCGCTAACACAATGGTTTAAAAACGCCGATTAAAAGGTCCAATCGAAGTACAGTTTAAGTTATTGGCACACTTAATGAATAAAACACTAAGTGTATTGCGAGTCCCAAAATATTATTTTCAGCCTCAACACACATTCTCTTCTGAATTCTTAATCGAAAAGATAATGAAAATTTAGCGTGTAGAGAGATAGTTTTGTCGTCAAATGAAGTAATTTGATTTCGTAAAAAGATTATCTAATAGTGTATCTACTACTCATTATTAATAATAACAATAAGGCGCACTTCATGTTAAATTATTCACCAGAGAAGAACTATTCACGATCTTAAGTGTGGTTAATAGTGATTATTATTCTTTGTATGTTATCCGATTTCATTACTGACAAATAGTTAGAGTTAAAAATTAGTTATCTCAGCTATATTAAACATTAAAAAATGCACAGTAAACGTCTCGGTTAATGAAGAAGTATCTGGAAAAACCAAGCATAGGGTTAGTAGATAAAATTCAAATGAAACTATAGGATTATAATTTTGTGATTACTTTCAAACTGAGTTAGTAGTTTGTGATTGTTCTACGCGTATTTTGGGTGTTTGTACAATAGGAATTAATCAGCTGCAATACGATGTAAAAATGAAGTGAGTTATTTAGACTGATGATAAAATACGGTAAAATAGCAAAGCTTGGAAAGTATTATCCAAGTGTAGACATACGTACAAGTTAGAAACATTTATCACTGGAGACAAACTGAATTTCAGTAAATTTTACCACGTAATAAAACTTACTGTCAAGGAATAGAACCAACAATCTCGGGTAATTTACAGTTGTCAGCCTTTTAATACAATTATTTCTTAAGTCTAAGTGTGTTAACGTGGGCCAGTTTCCACAAGGAAATTCTTCTATTTCATTATATGATGCTCTTAACACAATCAGATTGTTTAAACCATATAATGCTCTTAAATTAGTTATACGATTGAATCCTACGTTAATGTAGCGCAAAAATATAAACCCCTTCAGTGCATCGATATTCGTTAGCAGTCTGTAAGAAAAATAAATTTCATATTTATTACGTTTTTATTTATTATATTCTATAGAATACGGTACAATGGAATATAGAAGTTGGCAAAAAGTACATATTTAGACCGAGATTCAGACTAAAGTGAAATAATCTTATACCATTGACCTGAGATAAGTCTGTATATATGAAGAATATTCTCTATTAGTTCCAATGATCAGTCATATACGACCTAAGTCTTGGTGAATAGTGCACATCACGTGAAGTTACAACACTTCTGTTGACACATAAACAAAACGTAAAACAAGCAAGAAGTCAGAAAGGGAAATTAGCGAAAAGATTAGTACTAACAAAGGAAAATAGAAAGTATTATCCTGCTCTGAACATTAAAGTGATACTCTGAAATTTGTAATTTTCCTAAAGAGGTGTGAAGAAATGTTTTAAATAAATCCAGTCCTATTAAATCTTAGAATATTCATTGGTTCATTTTATGCATGGAAGTGAACTTTTGTTGTCGGTGATTGGAATCATATAAAAGTTTATTGGCAATAAGCGCTAAATCTTGAAAATAATATATTCCGTCAATTAATCAAAGCGACAAAGCTCATAAAAACTGGGTTACAAAGTGGCGAGACTATATTTTGAAGGTTCCTTTTAACAAACCCCAAGAAATATGCTTAAGAGAGATTAGTGCGTAAAATATAAGGAATACCTGTTTCTTCACACGTGCCATTTGAGCAATTCAAAAAAATAATAATTGATCTGTATACGAAAATAAATGTGCGGATCGGATATAGACATTTGGTAAGTTCCCATTGGCAGAACCAAAAATCTAGGTGGTCATATGTTTTCAGAGTAAATTTCAAGGACATTTTGTGCTTTACTTCTTTATGTTAAATGTCAAGAAGTTTAACATAATGGTGACATTTCTGTCTCATTATGGAAACTTACTATTCACAAAGTTAAATTATTGATATGAATAGGTTTCTGATTAAGGAAATCCGGATTTACTCGTGTTAAGTCTTGATCAAATAAATGACTTCTCCTATTGCAATATAAACAAAAAATGTAATATATGCTGAATATCGGTGCAAGTTAGTTGTGTATCATATAAATAAGTAATTATAAGTGGTGCTTAACATAATCCCATCTGACTGATCGCGACCACTGATTGTCCCAATATATAAGAAGGGGTCAAAATCATCCTGTGACAACCATAGAGGGATTAGTTTGACTAACATAGCACCTAAAACACTAGCCTCAATGATTATCGGCCGCCTGACTAAGACTCGTGAACTGCAAACACGAGAGAATCAAGCTAACTTCAGATCTGATCGTGGCTGCATAGACTACATATTCACCATTCGTCAGGTTCTAGAACACAGGCATGCTTATCGGCGTCCGACAATGGTGGTCTTTCTTGACTTAAAAGCAGCATTTGACTTTGTTGATCGCGAAATTCTGTGGCAGTGTCTGTCATTGAAAGGCGTACCTCGGAAGTACATAATCCTTGTGAAGGCTTTTAACTCGAACACTACCAGTCGAGTCATAGCTTATGGAGAACTGTCATCTGCTTTTGCAACCCCAAGTGGTGTCCGGTAAGACTGTCCATTATTTCCATTTTTGTTCAACATCATCATAGACCTACTGATGAAAACAACGTTCTTGTCGACTGAATTTTCGGGTATTAATCTCCTACCAGGAGGTCCACTTATCGACTTAGAATATGCAGATGATATAGTCCTATTTGGTAAAGATGCTATTAAAGTGCAGAGTCTTTTGGTAACACTGATCAACAATGCCAGAATGTTTGGGATGCGTTTTCCCCCTTCTAAATGCAAACTGTTGCTTCAACACTGGCCTGCGTCAACACCTGAACTATGGATAGGGAGTGAAGTAGTCGAACGCGTTGATAACTCCACTTATCTTGGAAGTTCTGATCAGCTCAAATGGGTTGGTGTCTGACGAAATTTCAGCACGAACTCGGGAATCTCGTTTGGCTTCTGCCACCTTACGTCACTTATGGTGAGAGCGAGATATCCGTCTATCAATTAAGAGACGAGTATACTGAGTGGCAGTTCGTTCTGTCTTACTTTACGGCAGCGAAACGTGGCCAATAAGAGTAGGAGATACTCGTAAGCTACTAGTATTTGACCACAGATGCCTTAGAAATATTGCTCGCATCTGATGGGATCACCGGGTAAGTAATAGTGAGGTTAGACGCAGGGTATTAGGGAATGATGGTAAATCAGCTGATGAATTTGTGAATTTTCATCGACTGAGATGGTTGGGCCACGTGTTACATATGCCTGGACACCAATTACCACGACTCACAATGCTGACTAGCGTTGGAGACTGGGTGACATGGCTCAAAATCGATCACAATGGTGTAGGTGTATACACTCTCTTTCTTCCCTTAAACTATGGGATTGAAGTCGTTTCATATCTTTTTCTACGAACTAGTTCCTTCTTCTTGGTAATATGTTCATATATGCAACCTTTCTCTTATATATTACCACCAGTGAATTAACTACTTGTATGAATCCGGTGGTCATCCTGCTGTGCTAATGAGGTGTGATAGCTTTGACCGATGCATATATGTGCCTGATCCTACGCTGTAGCTGACTGACTGGTGCTTAAAAGAGTGTTTGAAAATCTACATGCTCAAGAAAAAAAGCGGGTAATCTTTTAATTTGAAAAAAAAGTTAGTATAAACTCATACTGCATTTTCATTCTTATGGTTTTTCAATAATAAGAAATGGCAAATCAAACAATGACGATGAATTATACTGCTAATATGCCAAAATTAATAACAAATACGCCAAGTGCTCAAGGAGCTATAAAAGAACGATTCTAAACTAAAAGCAACCTGATATCTTGAACAGTTCGTTGCAAAGAGTTTATAGTTTGTTAGAGATGAACGTGACAACTCGATATATATATATATATATATATATATATATATATATATATATATATATATATATATATATACTCGACTTTAATGAGATGAAAACCTGCTAACGGCAATTCGCTTGGTCTACTGCACACCACCATGATCATATTCTCATGAAAGTTAGATCGAATCATAAATAACTGATGTAAGATCCTTGATAAGAATGATTAGTTACCAAATGGCAACCAACAACTGCGCAAGTATTGAAGATAAGGAGTGAAGTATTTTACAAACTGTTTATATTGACCTGCCAAGCCAGTTATGCAAGGTTTATGATCAAATTAGCAGTGATAGTTTTACGTAATTATTGAGAACATACGGCGGCCGATAATAAATTCCATTTTTCAGCAAACTAAGTTGTTTCGTTAATACGTTCGGTTTCAGTATCGTTTCCGTCACATAAAGGACTAATTTGATGTACGAACATCAAGCATCTGCAGTTACTCGAGTATTTTGAAAAAAGATGGCGCTGTGAATCTCTGACAGCAACGTTTATTGTAGTTTTTTGTTCTATATTTTTTTCGGAAAGCAGTATTTGACACTAAAATCAATTCTCAAAAATATTGTTCAAATGACTAGATCGCTAATAAACAAAATTGTTATCAGTATACTTTAAAATAATTGAGATAATATACATATAGAAATAGTTATACATTTAGCGTTACATCTATAGTATCTATATCGATCAGATATGGCGTAAGAGTTAGAATACACATGTCTTACCTGTCATTGCAAATAAATTTAGCTGGGGCATATGATAACCCGTCAATTGTTTCGTTTACATAACACAAACTTGAACTTATTATTTCTTTGTTCAAAGATACTGATTCCGATGATTTTTCTGTAACGCTTACGTGTTTCGGCGTTAGCTCAGGAATGTTAAATAAATAATGTTACCCATTGCTCTGATCGAGTTCAATTCTTGGAGTTTTATTCTCAGTAGGCTGACTTGTTTGCATATTATATACTCTCAAAGTTTTCCAAAATTTATATCAATGTAAACTAAATTACCAAAACGTGATAAATAAATATATTTAGTGAAACAGTGACTAAAAAATATCTTCTAGAACCAAAAAGCAACAAAATATCATATATTCAACATAAACATCAGTTATCTTATAAGTTATGTACTCAGACTGCTTCAAAACTGGTAAAAAGATCACTTTGTTTGAAGTATACTTTATAAAATTCATCGCACTTTGATATTAAACGACTTAGCTGAGTGATGATCATAGTTTGAAAGCTCTTTGAACCACGTGTTAAATAAACACAGGAAAGCTGAATTTAAACAACTAAATTGAAGGCTAATTTTTAACTGACTTCAGTCGACTATAATAATAAGTGTCATTTATAGAAAAGACTACCTTTTCTACTATTGTAATGAACAAGAACACGAGCGGGAACAATCGAGTGTATATGATTACAAAATTGCAGAGCATCTCACTAAAACCGGAGAACCATGTAGTAAATCGTTAATTTGCAAAATATCAATCCATCATCTCAAATATCAATCCATTGTCTCAGATTTCATTGTTCATGCGTTTTCATACCGATTGCGTTCCGTTCCCATTCTTTCCTCATCGACCTTCTACTGAAATATATTCTCTGACTGATCACCGTTATATACTACTCGTGTGGATATAAGTAACCCACACCACACTGTCACCGCCTCTCCATAACTTTAAGGGAGCAAGATATAGGTCCGATTTTGACAGTTAGCCGGGACACTAAGAATAACTAACAGACGGAAATGATCAAAGCTTACGCTATTCTTCGTCTTATCCGAAAAATAGCTAGGCATTTAAACTCATGCTCACTACGTGACAATATTCAAAACTGACCTCTGTTCCTATATAGATACCAACAACGCTGTCCCAACACCACGTCCTTAGAAAGGGAAATGAATGTCTTGTGACAAGTACACAGGAGTGCTACGAAGTTGTCCAAAAGGTTAATGAATATGTCGTGTAAAAACAACTTATCTTCAATTGTTCGTGGTAAGTCGCAGAAGAGAAAGAGGCGATCTGACAATGGAACGCAAATATACTAAGCCTCCTGACAATCCAGATAAAAACATCCAACCCGAATCGCAGCATCGCACTTGATGAGGCTACTTACAACGAATAGTACATCAGAAAAACATTATTTAGATAACATTTTAGATCTCATAATGCAGTTAGTACAGACTTTTAACTGAATAGCTTTAAAAGAATGCTGGATAACCATGTACTCGCCCATGAGTTGCTGTTCCATCCCTACAATAGTTGTGTCCGACCCACGTCTTAAACGTTATCATTACTGCCAGTTTTATCTCAATTGTTTTCATCAGTATCATTACCATTACTCATATTATTATCGTCAGATCTCTGCTTAAGCAGAGTAATTACTCTCGCCTATGTCAAAGAAGGTTGAACCTATTTGACAGATATAATTACATCTGTTACTCTTAGACATTTTTTTGTTCAAATTGACCTCACAAATCACCAATCAACTCGAAGAATGATGTTCTTTTTGCATCTCAAAATACTATAAGATTACAGATTATATATATATATATATGTTTCCGAAGGTACTGGTTTTGGTTAAGGATTGATTGAGAGCGAAGGTACGTTATTTTGCATATCAGACATAATTCTAGCTTGGATAATTAATTCTATAGAAATATACAACTTTTTATTAAATAAATATACTTCCTATCATTTTACTTTGATGTAGATAAGAAATTTCTAATTTAAGAGAATCATTCGCCTTTATATCCAAGAAATACGTAGCGGAAAATATTATTATTTGTGTTTTTCAACGTACCAACCCTGAACTCAAAAAATCACACTTTGTAACTATAGTGAAGATGCATTCAATGAACAACACTTGTTCATTATGATTTATTTACTCTCATAATTAGAAAACCGAGATCATAGGTCTGAGAATAAAAGCGTATACAAACTGACGGATATTAATCTGGTCAAAAAGTAAGATGATGTAAATTTTGCACTGGTAACATTGAAATGCATTTTTGGCCAGTTTAACGGTAGAGCTTTCCACATAATCTTCAACAGTTTCATTCGTCCCTATTCACAGTACGGAAACATAGTATTTTCTCCCTCATTCCAAAAGGATAAGGACACTCTGGAGCATATGTAACGGAAAGCCGCGAAATCAATTCGAGGACTCAAGTCCAAGCCTTAAGAAGAGCACCTCAATTCACTCAACCTGTACCCATTAGAGTATAGGTGCCTTAAAGCCTACCTTCTAATGGCTTACAGCCTCCCTAGTACTTTTGGACATCCCGTTCAACTCTTAATTAAGTTTAGCTCAAACACAAAATTAAGGGGTAACACCAAGAAACTAGAGACACAACATAGCAGAACGGACTGTACACACACATTCTACTCCTTAAGAGTCATCAAATACTAGAATTTTCTGCCTACTGAACTAGTCCAAGCGGCTTGCGAGGAGTCCTTTAAGAGGAAACTTGACCTATTCTTAAGGTTTAAGGACAATTTCTATTTCCCCTATTGTCGTTGATGTACCTAGGTTCCTGCCTGGAGGTATTTTTGATTTACTGTTACTAGACACGGAAGCTAGTTAGGTGAAAAATTCTTCTATTTCGTCCACAACCATTTGAAATCTCATAGTTTTTAATTTGACTTGTCGAGGCAAGATCAATTGAGAATGAAATTCATTTGATCAGTACTCCGTCGATTCTACGACAAACCAAAAACGCACGAACCGAACATCCCACCACGTCTGATTGAAGCACTCCCCGGAACCTCAAACTGCAATTTGTCAAGAAAGGTTTTACGAATATTGGAACCTTTAATGGATCCATCCGGTAACTCCGTCAAATCTACCATACAATTCTAGTACAAAATCAACAGCGACGGACTGACGATATACTTTGATTTAACAGCCTTATTTACCCCAACTGAACCAAGCTTAGCACAGGAAACTGCTTCTTGCCAAAGACACAAATCTCGCGAAGTAAACGAAGCTTCAAAGTCGAAGTTAATTAGTACTCGTAGGTTTATGCCTGACAACATATTTTCAGTTCAATTACGAATTCTGAGAACAAACGAAAGGAACACCGATGGGATCACCAATAGCAGGTGTAGCGTGGTGTCGAGTTGAGATTAACTATGAACACAGCTACCAAGAAACACGTGCCAGACAAATCAGAAGGCGTAAGAAGCTCGTTCCAAATGACTCCATGAAATCCCCGAGAAGCCGAATACCAGAAGGCAATTATTGGACCAAGTCGAGATATTTATTTGCTGGCGATCTCGTGGCATCGAAAGGATACCGAGATCGTGCCAGGATACAAGCTTGGTTACAGAACGTAACGGAATTCGCGCGAACTCACAATCAAAGTGTAAGTATAAGAATGGAAGCACAAAATAGCTGTCATTAGCACAGTCAAACAAAAGCACGTTAAAACAAACACTGGTACAGTTGGTTATAATAATAATTGTTTTTATTAAACCAGTCGTGTTCTCGTGATAAATGTGAGTCACTACACAGGACTTCAGAAGACTCGATCTTACCAGTGATGAAGGCAAAATTTTGGATTCATTATTTGAGCGAGACATTTGCAAGCGTCAAAAAAACAAGTTGAACAATACCTGCAAGCTTATCAACAACGTCTACGATAAAACAATTTCACAATGGAATAAAGGTCGAACAACGAAATAACATACTTTGGTGTATTGACCACCAGAACCAACACAAGAAAACTCACGAAAAATATAAACGCAAATAAAAAACTAACACAAGAATCAAGTATATTGGAAGCCGACTCAGATAGATTATATTCCCAATTACAGTGGGAACAACCCATGAGTTCACAAAATCAACTGAGTACAAACAAGGGGCAAAGAAATATTACAACAAACCGCAGCGCGAAAAAATAGAAAAATTTCTAAAGACTAACTTTCAAAAGAATGGCTATCAAACCAATTTCATGAAAAAATGCCAACCAATCCCACCCGAGGGAACGAAATTAAGTACAGAAACCAACAAATGGAACATTCTACCATATACAAAAGAAAGAAATTACAATGAGATTACTGAGGCACTTTCGAATAGGGGTAGCAAAGTAACGGGCAAAACCACTTAAATTAAGCCTATGCAAACCAAAGGATGGATGACAGAAGATAAGTAACCGAACATTTGATATTTAGAAGTATTTGAATAATAGTGAAAACTACGAATCCCAGAAATAACGTAATCGGATCAAGAATTACTAGATAACCACAAACAAATATACTGTATTTAGAATTCGAAATCAAGGATTCAACAGGTACAGAGGTATCATTAGTTCATCCAAACAGCACAGAACATCATCTACAAAATCAGTTGTTACAGCCACGAAAAGTACTACACCGAGAAATATGGACGCCCACGTCACCTTCACCTGCACGAACATCAAATAACAGTCAAACCCTGTGATGTATCCTCGTCAATATCAATGCATGTTTACAGTTGTAGACACACATTCAACCGGGAAGATGTTGAGATCTTGGATAGAAGCATCTCTAAAAACACCAGAGAATTTTTGTACGCTCGGCACTCGCGTCAATCAGTAATCAACATACACATCATGATCGATCTGAACTATCAACCAATCAGAAATAATATAGACAAATAAAGAACCAAGAATCAAATCGATACGAGATGCAGTCAAAATAACGAGACAGATGATGATGGGTTAAGAGTCAACAATAGCCAATCAAGATCGAGGTTGGTAGGACAAATTGTTTCATATATAGGGAATTTCGAACACTACACTTCAATCTGAAGTTTGTGCCTATAATGACGTTCAGAATAACAATTAAAGATCCACGACAAAACTGTCTAGTTCAAAACACAAAGCTCAGTCAACACTGTTCACGCCAGCTACAAATCCTATCCACACCTTTAACTACAGATTGAATTTATAATGTTTCTCAACAATGGATACGAACCCACTTGTTTATAACTTTGATGCACCTTTTTTTAAAACTAAGGAAATAAATGTTTGCGTTTCATTGACATTATCAGTTGTCGCTATCTATTGTAAACATCATACTACTAAACATCGATTCGATATTATTTTCGCTTGAAAAATGATGTGACTTGCTCTGAAATACTGTTACGAGATAACTGTCTAACAACTCGACGGTTATGCCCATAGTGGTAAGTTACTTACAAAATAATTCGTTCAGTGAATCTTCGTCACTAAATCTGACCTCATTAGTTTTACAAGACGTGCTCGAGCTGGGGGCTTTTGCATCGGAACCACATACCCATAAGATACGCTGAGCATGGCTTACGACAACTAACCAGCTTATGTTACACACTTCCTGACATAATGAGCGGCCTGCTCGGACATCTGTTCCTGCCATCTACATATTCCAACAAGTTATCTATTTTTGTTTGTTTTAATATATCATCATGTTTATTAATTGCACAACCTATTCTGCTGCGTTTCTGAAAAGTGTACAACCTTTCGTTGCCAAAGTTACAAAAAACTCAATAAGAAACAATGTGGTCGCTGGCAATATACAACGAAAAGAATGCACATTATTCAGATGTCCATTTACTGAACTGCTAACATATAACTGGCGATCACTCAATATTTATCGCCAGGACCGACCAAGAAGAAATACTTTGCGCTGAGAATTCTATATTGTACCAAAAATACAATATTGAATAAAGTTGATGATAACAAAAAAATACTGCTATCTTTCAAATATAAATTTGGACTATTTTACGCCTGAAGGTCTGCGATTATAATATAGCGGATAAAGTCGTTACCAAGCCCTGAATGTCTGCGAAGTCCTTATACCGACGCCAGACTGATTGTTGCTCAGGTTGACTCAATTTCAAGTTTTTGAAACTCGAATTCAGTGAACACAAATTTCACCCATGCTGGTTACTGTTTGAACCTAGCAATCTCCCAAGTCTAGGTATCATCATTATTTAGATTGACGTCAGCAGGAGCCGCAGATAAAATTTAGGTTATCCCCTAAAATAATGAGCAGCAGAAACTAACTGTACTGAATCAAGATATCCAGGTAGTGGTGGGTAACTAATGCAAAGAAGGAGAACCATCACTAGGTAATGACTGAGTGTATCAGGATGTATTCCATAACCAGACGTCATGGTTATTAGTGGATGTATTCCAAAACAACTAAGAACCATGTATATTTACAGGATGTCTTCAGTGCCCATCTAACTACAACAACTTTCTCAAGTTCGACCCTAGCATTAGTTAGGTTTAGGACTGGGGTAAGTTGAACAAACTTCGTTACCGGCTCTAGGACTTTGACGGGAGACGATGGGAAGGCTAAAGCAACGGACGACCATCCTACCACTCTAGAGTATAACTTGAAATTCAAATCACGAACTAGATTCTTGTAGAGAACGCTGTAAGTGTTGTTATCGCTATCATGTACGTTTTTTGTGCTGATAACTTCGAGGCAATACAAAGTGCATGCATACTAAACATATTTTCCGGAAAAGAATTTTAATACGTAGCAAAAATGTTTACTAAATTTGTTTTTGTGTACATATATTTTATATTACTATACACAGTGCGATATGGATCTCAAATCACAGAAAAGCCAGGAATATGCAGCAAGGGAAGTCCGCGAAATGAATAGTGATAATAAATCGGAAATCCAGTATTTAGTTAATCTCAATGTCGATATGAGTTACATTGGGGAATTCCTTCTAAAAAATGGAATACAATCTGTAGATTAGTTGACGCATAATTTGGTAAAATAAGCAACGTAATTATACTATTGATATTATTGCATTCTTAGAAATAATTCATAGTAATTTCTATCGAATTTTCGCAAAAGGGAAGCAAGTAAATGAATCCGTAGAACAAATAAATTTGACCAGTGAAACACAACCTAACGCAAAATAATTGGACTTGAAAGAGTAACTGATCGGCTTAAGTGACTACTTTCCATATATTAGTCAAATTCCATTGACTTTCTAAACGCGACTCAAGTAAGAAACAAGTTGATGGTGACAATCTTATTAGGAAATGATTTTACTTAGAAATGCGTTAATAACTGCCCACTTTGTGAGACTGATTAAGCTCTCTTAAATTACCAGTTATTTTAAAATATCTGCAACTATTGAGTCGCAGCAGCGCACGCGCCTTTAGAGTCTACCATTCTAGGTATCTTTTAAATAACGAGTCACTGTTTTGATCTTCCTTTCATTCTCTATGTAGAAAGATGACTTGGTTTGCCCACAACATTTGGACACGATATATGTGACCGGTACAAAATCTAATCCTTCCAACTGATGGATCCGGAGAGCGAAAGTTATATGCCTTATAAGGTAATTGAAGACTTTCTTATTGCTGTAATTTACTCCTCTTGATAGGTTGGGATAAACACAAAAATACAATTATGAACAACTTTATTGTACTGCATTTGGGTACACTCCCGGAAATGCTAACAAAACCAAGTATTCGAAATCAGTCATGATATTTGGAGTCAGACGCATACTATTTAACTTGTTGAACGTAAACATATACCGATCTTTAGTTTTCACATGTCAGCTGGAAGGACTAACTTTTGTGCCAGTCATAGACATCGCAACTTAAATCCTATAGCTTAATGAAGTCACCATAAAGAAAAAGTCTATCAGCAAATTATTTTAGATACAACCGAATTCCCAATGTTTTATGGGACGCCCACGGTTCTGTTGTGGAAAATCTTCCTTAAACGAACGAATACTTAAGGTATGATATTAACTATTCAGCCAAATAATTGATGTCCTACAATCAAGTATCTAGAGATATTTTATTGCATAAAATCAGAAATAACCAAAAAGAAGTAAAGTAATTAACTTTAGTGATTTAACAACACAATCAAACAAGAAGTACAAATAGGTGCCAGGACATAATGTGATCGTAAGAGATGGGTACAGATCGATACTGGTCTATTTACGCGCAGAGATGATTTGAATTCACAAACTTAGATTAAAAAATGGTTGTGACAATTTAGAGATCTAAAGAACACTTATATCTATCAGATTTACTATATCTAGTCAGTTAATTAATTAATGATATTAATTTCATTACGTTATAAAATCATATTTTTGATGCAATTCATGACTTGTCAGTTTAATATCTTGATATGTTGTCACTAGCAACTGTACCCAAGATCCAAATGAATCACTTCAAAACTAGCTGCTAATTATTTATGAACCAAGCTTTTTTATGTCTGCTCTTGAGTGTGTTAACTTCGTTGGCGTATCTCCCTATAATTTTCACTGTGACCTCATACAATTTGTAATACGAAGTACAGACCACCGAGCTTTAAAGTTGGTAACTGTTTCACACTTACATACTTTATAACGACGATCCAAGTCTAGATACTGGATGGGGTTCTTTGTGGTAAGTAACAAACCTAACAGAAATAGCCCATTATGGTTTTTAACGGTTCACTATCTGACGTCAGTCACTGACGAAGGTTGCTTCAAATTATAGAAAACTGAATAAAAAGGTGTATTACCTTAATTTTCTCTTCAATTTTATTAATTTCTGCGCCTAGTGTGTTCACTAAATTATCACCATGTTTCAACATAAAATGAGCCAGTTGCTGTTCAGTTTTGACATTTTTCACCTCCTATAAATTTATAAAGCAAAAGTAAAACTGAGTCGCTTCAATCAGATCTTTTGAAATTCAGGCTGACATAATTTTGAACGTCGACATAACAAAAATGAAATCTGTGTTTTAGATAAGTAAAATAAATCTTCTGGAATATGATGACTGCTGTTTCAAGGTAATGAACAAATTCGCTTCCTCTAACAAGAAGGAAACCAAGCTGAAACAACTTGCAGATATCTTAATCTAAAACCCATTGTAACAATAGGGACAAATATCATGACAAAAGAAACAAAACACATAAATAAGCCTCGGACTTAAAAAGTAGGAAGAAAGATGACGTAAAACAATGTACGAAAAAACTTATATTACCTCTAAGACATAAGATAAGTAATTTAAGTAAACGCGTAAGAGAACAGTGAAACAAAAATGAATATTATACTTGAGCTGCTTTAGTCTATTTTTTAAAATTGATAACTAACAGAAAATAATTTGATGTTTTTGATTTACGTCTTACACTTTGAACTGATGATAAAGTGCTTGAAAAGACAGTCGTTTAACGATAAATAACAATGAATCCATTCAACTCATACAAATTTCATTCACGAGATAGCATTATCATTATTTTAAAAAAGAGTTACTGTTCGCAGTCTAAATCACTGTATGGCTGCTTACTGATATTAACCTTTCCGTCTTATCAGATATCACGCGTTTTGTTTGATTATATATATACAAGGCAATTTTACCATCACTTTGATTAAACCTACTTATGGTTATATTGTATACTCACTTTTGAAACCTGTTTATTCTTCGGAATACTTCAATAGTATAATTTTGTGAAGTTGGATTACCAAATCAATGCTTTTATTTACCCACTCAGTGTAAGAAATTGTTAACAATGCATAAGTAATACATGGAAAAGAAAGCATTATATGTTTCTGCAAAGAAAACATGCTTCCTGTAAAACGCTCAATAAAGAGTTAGGACAACTTTTCTATTAATTAATCATTCGACAAACAATGATGTAAAAAGTGACGAAAATTTGAACACAAAATCTACTGATCACTATTTAAAACAATATCAGTGTATTGATATGTTTAATATAGGCTGAATATGGAACTTTCAGGTTTAGATTAATAAAATGTATCGAAAATAAGAAAAGCTTAAAACATTCGAAAACCAATGGAAGTACAAACTCTTTCAAAAGTAATATTTAGTTGACTATTGATAAATATGCTTACCTGAAGAAGATCGTCTAATGATAAAGTTTCTAGGTAACGTTTAGTAAGTTCTCGACCATCAATATCAACTTCTGCTTTGAATCGTATTTCTTCACCACCAATCATAGTTGTTTTTATGTCGTATGTCCCGCGAATAATTTTTATGTTATCCATCACACGCATAATTGCCTCTTGATTTTCAACCGGAATAGCTCTATTCATAGTTAACGAATATAAAGAATCATATGTAAAGGAAATTTAGTCTCAATTCAAAGGACAGTTAAAAACTGAAACTATTACCTATATTAGACAAATAAGACATAAAACAAACAAAACGTCGGAAATAATGAAACCATTAACTCTCCCATCTAGTCATAGCGTATTTTAAACTCTCGGAACAGCCAAGAAACGCATGCAAACGTGAGGAGAGAAAAGGAAGTAAATATTAAATTGACGGAATTGTAGATGCACATTAACAGCCAAAAGACACAAGGACTTAACAGACTACTGTGCCAAACATTTTTAAAGCTTATTACGATAGTTTGGTATGTAATACGGCCATATTTACTCTCATTCGTTACCAAGAAATCCAAGATTAGTCTATAACGTATTAACCTGTGAATAGAACTCTAAATGGCCAATAATTAGTTTAAATAAACTTCACAATCTGAGTGCTCCAGAGGGATATTAAACTGGTATGTGATTGGTAACTATTTTTATTTATATTATTTTATTTGGACACATAAGTATTGGTGCAAAGGGCTACCGAATACATATGCGCCAAACAAGTCACTCGATTTGTGTGTGGGCTGTGATACTAACCGGGTGCCCAAACCGAAGCAGGTAAGCCATTAGCAGAGGGCGGTCAGTAACTAAGATAACATCAAATATAGACACTTCTAAAAAACAAAATGAACAATGAAAAATGACTAGGATTAAGATAACAAAAATTTAAAGCAAACCACTGATCGTAGTTACTTTTACAGTAAAACTATTAATAAAGAAAATATTTGAAGCAGTTACCCTACCCTTATATGATGAAATTTAGGTCCAATGATGAGAAAAAATTTGTCAGAAAGATGAGACGACGTAATAACTCAGCGCATTTTAGACCATTTAGTTTTACAAATAGTTACATAAATTCATATGTAGATTGGATAAACGGTCAATAAACAATAATTGAAAGAAATATACGTCAAGCAGTGAAGTCTTTCTTTATTATCAACTAACATAATACAACCTACCTTCCTATTAACATTTCAGTATTCGTATGTATGATCAGACCAGCCACTGTAGCGAGAATTGCACTAACACAAATCCCTCCAATCGCATCAGGTAAAACATGTCCAGTGAAAGCAGTTACAGCCATAGCTGACCCTGCCACAACAACACCAATGACAGCAGCCAAATCTTCTAATAAAACCATACTAGTACTTGGATCAACTCCGGAAAACAACCAATGTCTAACAGAATAGAAGTTTTGACGTTTTGAACTTCTTTTAGCTTCGCGATAAGCCAACGCCAAGGTGCCTTAAGAAAGGTTGAGATAATTTGGAAATAAATTAAAACGGTAGAGAAAAGGTGAGAAAAAGACCTGCTAAAAATGATATGGATAGAAAATTTCAGATTTGAAATATACTGTGATCCCTAGAAATGTCATAATGATAATCCACTACCAAAAAACATAGTAACAAAGCACATCGTATGTACCACTGTAGTATTTTTTGGGAATGATATCAAATAACGTTTCTCCAGTTAATTTCATCAATGCGTACATTACCTTCTATCAGTTTCGAACCTTAATTAAACAGTTTTCGTACAAACAGTTGGACATATTATAAATACTTAACACCCTTCTCTCAACTCATACTGATAAAATGTCAAAAACTAGTATCCAAAGTGATTAGTTCTTTGTCGTGAACACATTCTTTTCATTTTCATTGGATTAGAATGCTCTGGAAGAGGATTAGATATGCTACTTCGATTTAGAGACTAATATCAATATGCACTGAGAAGCAGTTGTATGAGTTTCAGTAGTTTGAAAAATGAATGCCTTTCAACATACCACACTTGATTAAGTTATTGGAACTTTATAAATCTAACATTAAATAGGCTTAAACATATAACTGTTTCCATCGAATTCAAATGTCTCAGAGGAATTCAACCGTAAATTACAATGAAGAAAATGTGACGGTAGTGTAGAATAAAGGAATTATATTTTGCACAACTACATCCCTAACATAATCTATGTTTTACTGCTTTTATGAATAAAACAACTCATTATTAGGATTAATAGAATTAATGATAATTTTGTGAAGACCTAGTCATATCATATATGATCATAAATGGTTGCCTAAAAACAACTTACTTCCTTCGGATAAAAGCGAACCTAGCATGACCATCAAAGCCTAGATAAGGAAAATACGAGAGAGACATAAACTAATGCAAGGATAAGTAATTGGTAATTTTTAAAGTAATCTCATCTATAAAAACATGAGTTAACTCATAAATTCGGCGGCCTGCTTGATCATCTGGGCTACCTGTTCCTGCCATCTAGATATTTCAACAAGTTATCTATTTTTGTTTGTTTTAATATATCATTATGTTTATTAATTGCACAACCTATTCTGCTGCGTTTCTGAAAAGTGTACAACCTTTCGTTGCCAAAGTTAAAAACAACTCAATAAGAGACAATGTGGTTGCTGGCAATATACAACGGAAAGAATGCACATTATTCAGATGTCCATTTACTGAACTGCTAACATCTAACTGGCGATCACTCAATATTTATCGCCAGGACCGACGAAGAAGAAAGAAACGGAAACTTGTTGAAATACTTTACGCTGAGAATTCTATATTGTACCAAAAATATAATATTGAATAAAGCTGATAATAATAATAATAATAATAATAATAATAATAATAATAATTGATTTGATATTTCCCAACTCAGCTGTGAACATATGGTTCTCTGTAAATTTATTCTCTTTGAGTCATGCTCCTTTACAGTACAAAAATGTGTGAGTGCATTTATACACTTGTCGGCTTACGAACCGTATACGGACAACATATCAGGTAGATTTAGTATTTTTCAGTGCTAGTATAAAATGACTGTGAAGACATATTTTCTGCTCTTTCTTCAAGTATACAAAACATGAGAAACTGATCTAATTGCTTGGCAGTACAAAAATTCACGTTTAATAGCTTTTGAAGATTTGCATAAGTATTACAAATGGAGAGTTTGCGTGCAACTCACAACCAAATATTACATGTGATGCTCGATTCGGATGCTACAAAAATCAGTTAAAGATTAATTTCGGCATTCATAACTGCGCTTTAAATGTTCAATTTCTAGAACATGCTCGACCAAACTTAAATATATTTGACTTTATAATATCCCAGTTGAATTTATGGCCACAACGGTAGCGTTACTTGAGGTCTCATTTGTAGCCGCATTTAAAAGCATCTTTTTGTATAACATCAAAATAGAAGGTAGGTCAGTAATATCCTTACCTTACAATATGCAATGGATTTGAGACAGTGAGCCTCAGATTCTGTTTCGATGTAATTTACAGCAAGTAATTAGGTATATCGATAGCTCTATGTCTAGTCCCCTTTATATTACATAACCTTTGGTTTTCTTGGATTTATATTTACAAAAAAATTCTGCTAAATCTTACTCTTGAAGATGTCTCTACTTTTACCATATTTTACTGTTAAGTAATATTCACAAGAATCTTATTATTCACTATTATATTTTAATCATGAAATATTAATACATAATAATAAGCACCGTTTGAAAGACAGACAAATTTTCGCATCAGATCATTTATATAGCTGAAGCATACGTGAAACTAAAATCATTGACCTTAAATCCTGTCAAGTATTTATTAATTATTCATTTATTGCAAGAATAAAACATTAACAAAACTAATTACCAGATTAACAGATTCAAATTCGTGAGGCGCCAAAATGCCCTGGACACTATGATAAAATGTAAGACCAGCTCCCAGGAAAAAAATGGCAACACCACTTATCAACGATGATACATTACGCATTGGAATATAACCGTACCTAATAATCAAGTATTATTGTAAAATACTTTGTTGAGATTAATGATATTCAAAAGGAAAATCAAACCAAACAAGAAAAGTGGCTTTTCAATTAAACTGAAAAATCACTTATACAATATCTCAAAACGGACTGTTCTTGATCGTGAATAAGAAAATTGCTATTGTTAGTTTGAACCACGAAGTAACATTGGCTAGACAACTGATAATCAGATTCCAAAGAATAGCTGTTTCTTTATAGCACGAGACTCCTCAGAAGTGCACATCCCCGACCCTAATAAGGACCGAACCAAGGTCTGGACTGAATTCCGCTGAGCACGGCCTCCTACCAGAGCACCGGAAATACTTTTCACAACTATTAACTAGTGAGAATAAAATTATTACCAAAAGAGAAAATTTGCGGAGATTTACCAATTTGTGGTTTACATTACAGAGTGGCATTATCTAGACAGCCATCGAAAAACAGACAGCACTAAATAGCTGTTTTGTCTTAATAAAGGATTTCTTAATGATGTACAGCCACGATCACGATATGGTAAATTAGACAAAAACAACCAAATAACAGTGGTATTTTGTAGTTCGTAATAAAGATATCAATATATTAAATCATGGTCGATTTCAATTCCTTAGGCACAAAATACACTAGATTCAACTTTAAATGACAATCTAAAAAATTTAATCTCATTATTCTTTTTTTTAAATAACAAGATAACTGTTTACAACTAAGAAGTTAAACAGAAATTACATTCTACTTTGAGTCAAATAGTCTGCAAAACTTAGTTTAATCGCGAACTAAACATTACCAATCACTAATTTGGATTGAACTGTTCGAGTTCGGTTTACTGCGCAGCAGTTCGTTCCGTCCTACTTTATGGCAGCGAAACATGGCCAGTAAGAGTAGAGGATATTCATAGGTTACTAGTATCCGATCATAGGTGTCTTCGAAATATTGCTCGTATATCCTGGGACTATCGAGTAAGTAACCCAGTTGTAAGGAAACGGGTACTAGGTAAGGATGGCAAATCAATTGATGAAGTAGTGAAACTTCATCAGTTGAGATGGCTGGGACACGTGTTACGTATGCCCAACGACCGACTTCCTGGACGTGTGGTGTTTTCTGGTGTAGGAGTAGGTTGGAAGAAAGCTAGGGGCGGCCAGACCAAAACATGGCATAAGTCCATGAAGTCACTGATAAGTGGACTGAGTCATGTTGGTAGGTGTAGACTACCTGGTTGGGGACCGCGAGATGATAGAAACCGATGGTTAGAGACCCTGAATGACATGGCTCAAAATCGTTTGCAATGGCGCAGGTGCATCCACTCTTTGTGTTCTCCCGAATTTTGATCTCCTTTTTCCTCCTTGTCTCTTTTTTTCTCTTCCCAAATTTATTTCACTGTATTATACTCTTTAAGTAACATCTCCAAACACTAATCTTCCCGATTACTGCTTTTACTCTTATCACCTCTACCACTACGGGATTTGAGTCGACCATTGCATCTCTGTGCTAGTGTGGTGTGGCAACTCGAACTGATGTACGTATGTACGAAGTTCTACGTTGTTACTGACTGACTGTTCGAGTGAAGCTTGTATTGAAATACATTTCCCATTGAAAATCTAGTGTTGTTTTAACACTATACTTAATAAAGTAATACGACGCACATAAAGTAACTCTAGAATACGCTCATGAGGAACATCAAGTTAGAGACTGAATAAATCAGCACTGACATTTTAACACGATTTGTTTCGTAATATTCGTCAGAGTTCAATCACACAGAAATAAACAACTAAAACATGTACTTCTATATTGCAACAAAGTATGTTAATACTATTTATCGTGTAATACTACCACTATTATATTTGAGAAATTATTTAATGAGCAAACTTATTAATTTTTATCACACAGTAATAGTTTTTTTTCTTGAAATAGCTAAAATGTACAAATAATAATAGGTGATCAAATAATTTCGGTGCATGAGAATCGATTGTTATTTTGAATTGTAACTAATACACTAATAAACTATGTTTATTGCCTTCGCTCTACTCTCTGCATTCCATACTTTGCCATAGTTCTCCAAAGTTAACGGAAATTCATACTAATGCACCTAGATTCCAATTACTTCAAAAGGAAATAGTCCCATAATAATTAGGACAGCAATGGTTTTCTTTGCTTAAATGAATAAAAAATCCAGGTAGTTGATATTTATTCTTATGACAGCTAAATGGTCTAACTGTGAACTAGGAGATAACGAACCAAATGGATACAAAAACGGTGGCGATGAAGCAGAGAGATTTATTACTTATTCATTCCTAAGGATTGAACTTGGTAAAGTTATTTACTCTTCATTACTCGAATGTCTCAGCACGGATTCGAAAAGCTCGCTTGGCTTTTGCCACCTTACGTCACTTATGGAGAGAGCGAGATATCCGTCTATCAATAAAAGGAAGAGTATACTGCGCGGCAGTCCGTTCTGTTTTACTTTACGGCAGCGAGACATGGCCTTTAAGAGTAGAATACACTCGTAAGCTATTAGTATTTGACCACAGATGCCTTAGAAATATTGCTCGCATCTGATGGGATCACCGGGTAAGTAATAGTGAGGTTAGACGCAGGGTATTAGGGAATGATGGTAAATCAGTTGATGAGGTTGTGAATTTTCATCGACTGAGATGGTTGGGCCATGTGTTACGTATGCCTGAACACCGATTACCACGACGTGCAATGCTAACCGGTGTTGGAGATGGTTGGAAGAAAGCAAGGGGCGGCCAAACCAAAACGTGGCATCAGTGCTTGAAGTCACTAACCTCTAGTCTGAGCCATGTTGGTAGATGCAGACTACTTGGTTGGGGTCGTTGTGACTATCGTAACCAATGGTTGGAGACTCTTGGTGACATGGCTCAGAATCGATCACAATGGCGTCGGTGTATACACTCTCTATCTTCCCTTAAACTAAGAGATTAAAATTGTTTCATATCTTTCTTTCTACGAACTAATTCTTTCTTCATGTACTATATCCTTATTGCAATCTCTCTTTTATATATTACCACCTCTGAATCCACTACTTTTATGAATCCGGTGTCCATCTTGTTGTGTTAATAAGGTATGGCAACTTGGACCGATGCATAAATGTGCCTGGTCCTACGTTGTAGCTGACTGACTGATTACTCGAATGAATCCATTTCTTCTTTTTCTTACCTAGAATTTTTTAACCATTGTTGGTATTATTATCTGCACTTCATTGTAGTCGTATTCGCTAAGCCGATGTTAAGTGTATTTTCTAGGAACGCCTTAAATTCTCTGGTTATTTACCAAGTACATTGTAGTTTTGGCGAACAAGGAAGTACTTGATAATCCACATTGACGTACGTTTGTGTTAGATCATGTTATTAATTATATGTACCTTTTTGAGATTTCCCTTGATGGACTTATAGTTTGTGATTTGTCAGAACTAGAAACAGTACCTACACCTAAGTAAAGAGAAATACATGATCAAACTGTGTCTGCGAAAAAATAGTAAAAAAGTGACGTACTTAATAAGCTGTTCGAGTTAATACTGAAAAACATTACTTCTAACAAAGTTCAAATTAAAAGCTACATTGTAGTAGATCCTATTGTTGAACAGTTTAAATACTAATGATTAAAGTATGCATAAAGCTAATTTACATAAGACCAAGTAATGAAAATACATAGTAACCAGTGAAATCACACATCTAAAGGAAGATAAATAAAAGAAAAGAGCTTACGGATGCGTTTCATCTGGTTTCTGAAGTGATGAATATAGACCATAAGCAACGAGAACCTAGAAGGTTGGGAGAAAACAGTAATTATGAATCACTCAATTAACTTATCTATTGTACCAAATAACAATAAACGAAGACTGTTTGATAAAAAACAATTGACGTGAAACAATTCTAAGTCATTGTAACTTAAAAAGGAATCCATAGAAAATTAGTGGAATATAAGACTCATGAAGCTGGCGCCTGTGAGACTTGAAAGAAGAATAAGGATGATTTGTTAAACAAAATTTAAATGTACGAGAAGAAACGGTTTGAAAGGTTCTGGGACTAAAATCTTAAGTTATTAAAACTGAAAACTGGTCGGTTACGTATCACTGAAAAACTAATTTGGGTACTTTGCTATTTACTTACGTACAAATTAGGTCCTCTGTTTGAAGATGCCAGTGAAAACTGAATACTAAGAAAATAAGATTATAAAAGTTTCAGCTAACCCCTAAAGAAAATCAACTGCAGCAAAGGTGGTAATATATATATGAGAAAGATTGAAGTAATGATATAGTACATGAAGAAAGAATTAATTCGTAGAAAGAAAGATATGAAACAATTTTAATCTCTTAGTTTAAGGGAAGATAGAGAGTGTATACACCGACGCCATTGTGATCGATTCTGAGCCATGTCACCAAGAGTCTCCAACCATTGGTTACGATAGTCACAACGACCCCAACCAAGTAGTCTGCATCTACCAACATGGCTCAGACTAGAGGTTAGTGACTTCAAGCACTGATGCCACGTTTTGGTTTGGCCGCCCCTTGCTTTCTTCCAACCATCTCCAACACCGGTTAGCATTGCACGTCGTGGTAATCGGTGTTCAGGCATACGTAACACATGGCCCAACCATCTCAGTCGATGAAAATTCACAACCTCATCAACTGATTTACCATCATTCCCTAATACCCTGCGTCTAACCTCACTATTACTTACCCGGTGATCCCATCAGATGCGAGCAATATTTCTAAGGCATCTGTGGTCAAATACTAATAGCTTACGAGTGTATTCTACTCTTAAAGGCCATGTCTCGCTGCCGTAAAGTAAAACAGAACGGACTGCCGCGCAGTATACTCTTCCTTTTATTGATAGACGGATATCTCGCTCTCTCCATAAGTGACGTAAGGTGGCAAAAGCCAAACAAGACTCCCGAGTTCGTGCTGAAATTTCGTCAGACACCAACCCATTTGGGCTGATCAGACTTCCAAGATAAATGGAGTTATCAACGCGTTCGACTACTTCACTCCCTATCCATAGTTCAGGTGTTGACGCAGGCCAGTGTTGAAGCAACAGTCTGCATTTAGAAGGGGGAAAACGCATCCCAAACATTCTGGCATTGTTGATCAGTGTTACCAAAAGACTCTGCACTTTAATAGCATCTTTACCAAATAGGACTATATCATCTGCATATTCTAAGTCGATAAGTGGACCTCCTGGTAGGAGATTAATACCCGAAAATTCAGTCGACAAGAACGTTGTTTTCATCAGTAGGTCTATGATGAAGTTAAACAAAAATGGAGAAAGTGGACATCCTTGACGGACACCACTTGAGGTTGCAAAAGCAGATGACAGTTCTCCATAAGTCCTGACTCAACCAGTAGTGTTTGAGTAAAGGTTTTTGACAAGGTTTGTGTACTTCTGAGGTAAGCCTTTCAATGACAGACACTGCCGCAGAATTTCGCGGTCAACAGAGTCAAATACTGCTATTAAAATCATTTCATCTGGCTTAGAACACAATGAAGTGCGAAAACAAATCAGACGAGAGCTTTAATAAAGTATTTAATTTTCGTTCTATATGTGTGCATAATCCTTAATAAATGACTAGATCACTTGAACGAAAACACGTTTTGTTTGTAAAATTTAAATATATTCTTGAGATTTCTTGTAAGTAGATGATATAAGTGCAAAATATTGAAGAATAAACTTATGGGAAACTGAAATTCATGGATGATAGTTGTACCTTTATAGCTCCGGTGGTAAAATGTTAGTGAAAATGCCAGCAAATAGTGAAGCCATGTAAAAGCGGAATTGCTCAGATTATATTGAAACAGTGAAAAGACTATAATTTTAGTATGTGACTAAAAATAATCCATCTCTATTAGCAAGACGCCGGGCGTGCAAATGTTTTTCATTGAAGATAAAAGCTCAAAAGAATTGTGATGTTTCTCCCTATTAGTAGCTTATCACAAGAACATTATTAACACCAAGACAACGGCAATGTTCTCATAACGATACTAAAAGGAATAAGAATACCAGTTAGTTAAATTGAAAGGGATTGAAAAATAGTTTGCTTCGTTCTTTTCGTATTGTTTGTGCTAATGTATACACCCCACGATAATTTATAGTAATTAATATTACAGGCGTGAAACAATACGAGTGTATTTCTAATGTTACATAGAAAAGATATGGGTTCGAATATTTAATGCATGCTGACTTGATGCTAGGAACCACAAGCAACAAAGTTTTGTTGCCAAAACCGGTACACATACTTCTCTTTGGCTACTAAGTCCGACTGGATTATACAAAAAATATAACCCTTACGTTTTGTGATGGCCACTGTAAAAGTTTCGGAATTTTATGATAGGTAGTCTAGTGATACATAGTATGTATAAAATGAGAACTGACAGAAAAGAGTACCTGATTCATCGTATCCGCAAGCGAATGCATCAACTCAGAAAACATGCTTTTAGAACCAGTATACCACCAACCGAAGGCTTTGGCAGCGACGTTGAGACCATTTCTATTGGAAATAAAATATAGAATATACAGTACTACTAATTGATTAATATAAATAGAAACAAATAAATACAAAATAGGACACAGTGCTCTCAGGAAACTTTAACCAAGAGGGAAGCCAGCCCACTAACAGGTAACATCAACTAATTCAAAATATTCACCAAATAAACATCAAATCCCGATAACATAAGCAATCGAGAATAATAGTATATTTTTCAATATGTTTGGATCAACAGGCATCTTTTCATAATCTTATGAGCGAAAATAAAAAAATATTAATGACACACTTGTACTTATGCTGAGGAAGATACTACGTGAAAGAGATAAAGCACATACATCTATTCGAATTATCCATACGAAATACGAAACCTCGTTCACCACCTCACGTTATGTCCTATGGCCCATTAAATACCACGTGACAAAATCGCCAATTGGAATACCGAACTATATGACCTTGTCCCTGAGCTAAACCAATGATCTGTTAACCAGCACGAACAGTCTAGAGTCAACTCTGAGTCCTTATTGGTCCCCTGTAGAGTAACTTCTCGCCTAGCACAGCCCATTCAGTCCAGAACACAAATTTCAGCCTCCGCTGCATGAATCGTATATTTTAGACATACGTGATTTATATGTAAGCTAATCAGACCGCATAATACCATAAAATAAGAATTTATTATTATACAAGGTCAAGCCAAAAGGGACTGTAAGTATGGGAGATTTTGGCTAATAAATTGGGAATGAATTAAAAATAGTAAATTGTGTAGTAATAGATAATAGGTCAAATGAAAGCTTACGATAAAAGCAATATGAACATATGCATAATCTGGTTACTTAATGGTCACACAATAAGAATATATGTAATAATAGTCCAAAAATAATTCTTAGAAGTTATCATTGATTTATTCTTTGTCTGGATATAACACAAGTAAAACCACAAAAAATACCATCGGGTAGATATTCCACTAAATGAAGATAAATATAGCCGTATTTTTAGTGTTAATTAGAATGGTACAATAATAGTTGCATATGGTCAAAAATTCATAGATATGGCCACGTATACAATGGGACTCGTTAGCTATTGTTATTTTGCTATCGCATTCTTAGTAAACAGTAATATTAATAAAATCTATCTTAGCTATGTTTTTACTTTGTTATTTACCACTATTTTTCCTTCTCATAATGTCCTATTTTTAATCATTCACAAGATAATCTTTCCTGTTAATAGAGTAAGCTTTACTGTACTCTTCTATACCCGATATTTCTGCATTAGACGGTAGTAGGATATATTCAACTATGTTGAGCGATTAAAAATAATGGAGAAGCTTGTATATCTGACAGTAAATAAACTACAAAAAGGTAACTTAATGTGTAAAATAATTTTTAGGGAAAATATTATGACTACTAATTACAAAGGAATGAAGAATAGATGAATTTGAGTTACAACAGAATATTAAAATCTTTTACTTCGTGTGTTTTGAGGACTGTACTTGAGTTGACACTATATTAACAACTTGATACAACAGCCACTAACTCTATGAATAATTCTTCTACCCCATGTTAATGACTCAGAAACTTTCGCTTTACTTCTATTTCAGACACTACTATGTGCCCTCAAATGCCCTGGTATTGCTGAGAGTGGGGAGAGTCCGCTCTCCCTCTCGAAATGCTCTCACATGGCCACGCGTATATAGCCCCTGCCAGGGAAGTCCTACTCACTGCCTTCCCGTGGCAGGAGTGTTGTTTACGGAATTGAGAGGACGAAAAGCGAATGTCCGGCGCTTTAACCGGGTTGGTGGACATGGAGAGTCCATCTAGGGGAGTTGGAAAACCCTTTTTCCGAAACATAGGCTCCAGAATCCTGAAGGAACAAATGGCGTATGAACCAATTATTGATCACCGGCTACCATGGGACTGAATCTCCTTACGATGCTTCACTGCTTTGTGGATCAGACCTTTAGATCGAAGGCTACGGGTGTGGTCCCCTAAGAAAACCACCTGCTTCGGTTTGGGTACCCGAACAGTATTGCAGCCCTCACACAAACCAAATGAGATTTGTGTAGCGCATATGTATCTGCTACCCCCTTGTACCAGTATTGATGTGTTCGAATAACAAATAATAATAATAACACTACTATGTCACAGTACAGAGTATAGTAGAATGTGCAACAGATGTTGATCACCTTGGGCAATCAAAGTTTAAAAATCCAGGAACCAATGAACGTTTTTACTAAACACTAACTCCAGGATTTATTGGCTGGTGGTCCTCAGTAGCATGAAAGTAGGCACCATTGTAAACCAGAACCAATGACTGTAGGTTTTATACCCTCAAACACTTAAAAACCATTTAATAGGTAAAAAATGTGCTCCAGAATAGGAAAACCTTCATATGGTCTCTAAAACGACTCAGTTAAAATCAATCACAGGTTAGTGCAGCTGCCGGAGCTACAACTAAGACAGTCTTGCAAAATTCAGTAAGCAAATGAGCTAGTCGAAATTATCTAAATAACTCACATTGCTATTGCGAAAAGAACAACACGACCAGGGCCCGACGTAAACAAACTTTTCCGTTTATCCATAAAAACCTGTAGCAGAAAAAATATTAAATATTTGAAAATACTATTTACGATTACATGATAATGCCGTAATCATAGAAACAGGGATAAGGTATTTCGATTAAGCGGTGAAACAGATATGATACATGAAGATCGAGTTTGCACAGTAACTCAAAAAAGTTAGAGTTTAGTTATATTAAGTAATATCCTTTACTAAAACCTTGGCAAAAGTTGGAAGGGTTACGATACCGATTAACACAACTATCATGTTCATACATCAAAGCCGATAACTAGTAGGACTACAAATATGCAGCTTTTTGTAGAGCTGTGCAGTTTGTAAAAGAACATTTAGATAACAATGAATATAGTTAGAGAAGGGAAAAACAAGTGATAGAATCACAATAGACTTGGTACTCCAGTTGTTTTTTTAAAAAAGGCCCAAAGCAATACATGTAAAGTCATCTATTGGTGGCATGTACTTTACTAGCGAATTAGGATTATGAAGTCAAATGGCAAGTGCTTGTAAGTTAACAAAAATAAGGATGAAGCTAACTCATCCACCAAATACCTGGTTAAGAGCTACAGCCTAAGGGCAAGAGGTAATGATACTAACCGGTCGCGCAGGTCGAAGTAGATGGAGCAGGGTTCGGACCTGGTACTTAGTGTTTTGAACTGAACGCTTTAACTACTAGGCAATCGCTCCAGGCTAGTTATACCGAACTCAAAAAAACACGAATTACGCTTAAGAACTGAAAGCAGGGCACAAGGAATCTGCAGGTAAAGATACCTTGTTTATAAATAAAGGAAAAAATAATAGAGAATACTGAGTATTTTTCTCGGTTCTTGCAACACCAATTAATATCAACGAAGTGACAAGTGACGTACCGAAGTCCCAGTCGCCTTGGCTTCTGCTGAGTTTTGAAGGTATTTTAAGGCCTTCCTTAAATTGAAGATTTCTAAGAGATCATGAAAATCAACTATATACCTACCTGTTTTGGTTCTTCGCTCCATATCCTTCATGAGTTTCCGTCGTAACTCAAAATCATCATGGCCTCCGTGCTTTGCGTAAGCCCTTGAAGTGAAACATTAGATATTTGGATGAATTACATTTGCTCTACATCTGATCGGAGGAAAACAAGAGTTTTAGTTTCATTGCCATACGGACTTCGGCTGTAATAACGTGGTAACTGATCTAAATCACTTCAAGCATTAACAACACAAAATTCGAGTGGGACTTGAAACTTACTGTTTTGTAAGCATATATTCGCGTAATGCTCTAAGTGGTGTGATATACTTCACAGACTTGACAGAATCATCATAAGAAAAGCTTGTTTTAATTTTTGGAACCACTGACCAACTAGTTATAAGTTTTTTTATTACCTTTAGCATTGATCTTCTCAACTGGAGAATCAGTAATACTCTTGGGACCTGAAGAGCTAAAATTCCTGTTGAATAAATCAATGCGAGTGTGACGTGATATCCTGATTTTATGGACCAAGTAAGGCGTAGTAAATAAATGTTTGGTAGACAAGTTAAAGCAACGTCGAAATGTGTCCTTAGTAGAACTTAATATGGCACGACTAACTATGAAGTGAGCATTCTGCATAACTTTAAACTAGAGGACATTCAATTCGTCATTTACAACTGTTAACAAATATCAAAGTGACCTAGAAAATGTCGAAACTCCCTCACTTAGGACCAAATTGAAAACCAAAGACAAAGATTCAGATTCAGATTTGTGTAGTAAGGACAGAAGGCCTACGGCCTATGTTATTCCTTTTCTAGTATGCTTCTGTGAGTGTCCAGTCTTCTCTTGAAAGAGTCAATTGAAGATGCGGATACCACTGCTTCAGGCAGCAGGTTCCAAATATTGATGACTCGGTGTGAAAACCTGTATGCCACGGGTATTTTGTTGGTTCTTGGCTCTTCTACTCGCCTGCTATGTCCTCTGAGGTGTTCACATTTGTTCAGATTCCGAGGCCTCGTATTAGTTCTTCATTAATGCAACTTTATAAGCATGATCTAGAGGTGAGGGTATCACGATGAAGGCAAATTAATCCCAAAATCAATAGCTCTGTAAGCCCTAGACTGTTAATGCAGACGCGTTATTTGTAATGGGCTCAACTAGATGAAGGCGCTCGGTTACGCATCCGCACCAGATCACGATAAAGTAGGCTGTGCTCCACGTCTCTTACGACCACCAGCCAGCTTAGATTTATCACTTCTTGATATATCGGTAGCCTATCAAATATATATCAGGACCTCTTCTCATTTAACTCTTGATTCGACTGTGCTGGAACATTTTAACAACAAAATGTGTCATTGGTTAAGGTACTGTCAAACTCTGAATGCTTGTGGCATCTTTGAAGGCGAGCCCAACGTGATCTGTCACACTAATTCGGGAACTGTGAATCTGTCCCTTTTCGGAACTTAATATATCATGTAGATAAATGAAATGGGAAGAATACAAAGTCACTGAAATGATGAAAATATCAAAGACACTGGATTACAGTAATCTTTTCGATGGATTTTCAAGATTACAGTTGAAAACACTGTACGCAGTAATAGAGGATTTTAAACTTATAAACTGTTTTCTGGATGCTGCTATGATAATTAGTGGCATTCGAATTGACTTCATTGAAGTACACCTAACCATTAAATTTACATCTGGAGAAGAAAGCGGATTTAGAATAATCTTTTAAACGTTCTCTTAACCGAATGAACTGATGGACCAATAAGAAGATACTTAAAGAATAAAATATACCTTGACAGTACAGTACGCACATTTGCTTGCTTTTGTACCTCTACGGTTCAGAAGAAACCTGACCGAAACTTAGCTATCGAATACATACTATATATTCCACGGATATGGTTTAAAAAAAGCTGAACGCCTTGAGTAATACACTTAAGGAGAGACGAATACCCTAGAAAAATTCTAAACAAATATGTGGTCACGAAGGTTAGACCAGGTGAAAAACACGGTGAACAAGAAATTCCAGTTCATGCTTCCACAAGCCCGAGAGGATGCGGCTAGCAAAATATTAATCTGGAGATTATGAGGAACAATCCAAAAATCATTCAACGCTGCGGAAGCAGTAGCCACCCGGATTAAGAAGCCATAGCTGTGTGAAAGGAGTATCTTCAACTGTTTATCCCAGCCTGGCCATCGATAGTGATAAATAATCAGTGGTAACCTTGGCTACTGAATGACCCAGTTTAATTAATGTACTTACAAACTTTGTTGGTCAAATATAATTGTCTCTACTATATTTATTCACATTTATGCATATTGTTATTGTTATTGGTTTAACGTCATTATTAATCTTCCGAATACATGATTCATTTACTTGATATTCATCCCACTTGATTATTCTTCATTGATTTCACATAGAAATTTTACACAACGTAGTCTTCCGCTAAACATTTGATCTAATTTGTAATTGCACTGTTATTTCTATCACCATGTCCGACCCATATTTTTTCTAATCACGAATCTTAACATTTCGCTTGACGTATAGGCTGACTCAAGTAAATGATGAATATGAATCATCCCAACATTAACGACTTTATTTTGTTTAACAATCCTAAATTCACATGCTATAACTTCAAACGTTGAACGCGGCCTAAACCTGACCAGTTTTCGGATTATTAATCCGAATATATATTTGTAGGACCTGATGGGAATTTATCGAAAAGAATATTCATCGTTCATATATTAGTCTTTTATTGTGATGAGGATTTTTGAAAAAACTAAGGATTTCCGAAATAGTGCAATTTAAGGCAGTTAATAATAGATGAGCACAACTAGGTGGGTTATATTTAGAAGTTGTAATTAACGTGTAATCAAGTAAAAAGGAGTCATCAGTTAGCACAATTACCACAGTTATGCCAAATGTACTAAATAAGGACTGAAATAGTAAAGTCACGTAATCTATGTTTCAGCCGTTGATTTACTTGACATGTAGATTAGTAATAAACATGGTTCGCGGTTCAATAGACAAAAGGGAACTAAAGTTATGGTAGCATTGGATAAATATCATACACGGACCTCGAAATTATAAAGGGTTTTCTTATACATTGGCGGAATAATCACTAGCGATTTTGTGAAATAGAAATAACACTGACAATACAATATCCATCACTTGCATTTAAATAAGTTCAGGTCTTCATAAGATTTGTCTGATCTTCATTATACTGAAATGAGTCAAAACCGTCCAACACGTCAGTTACTTAATGCATCTTGAATTTTTATAGGTCAGCAGAATAGTGGAGCAAGATTAACAGATAGAGACAACTAGACAATGATATATCAGAACATATCACAAAATTCAGTTGAGTGAACTGATCAAATAAATCTAGCTATCACATCCTTTGTCGGAATGCTTTGTGGTGTGAATTTTACATATCCATACTAACTATGTAGCTAACAAAAGGAAATAGTTTTACGTTAGCTCCTGCTATGAGCTAGTAGTGACGCTTGATCTGGCATCATCAGCTTGTAGTGTCCATTAGGAGGTTTTGAGCAGTGTGCTGGACTATAGGGAAACATAATCCCTACGTGTATTCCCGCCGTGGAATTCATTATCAAGTGAAGTGATCCAAAGAAATTCAAAAGCCTCATTTGAGAGTAATTATACACACTAAATTACTAATACTCCTACTTTGACTTGATTCATATAAATTCATCCATACCGTGTGGAGTCGGAGATCCATTTACGATAGGCAAGAAGGTTTATAAAGAGAAAACTCCTTCCAGTCTTTGAGAAATCATTATAAGCATTTTGCTGCAAGAGCTGAGGATAGTATAGGAAAATGTTCAACACAAAAGTGGTATTGAATAACCTTAACATAGTACTTTTAAGTATAAGGTTGTTTGTATTCATGCATTCGCACACTCTGTATGCGATGTTGTCGCGCCACTATTATTTATTATATGTTGAACAGATCTTGTGTCAGGTCTCTTCTAAGGAGGAGGTGACGTTCGGATCTCACTACAAATCATAAAATTACTGTGGAATGGCCAGCTGACAACTTCGGAAATATTTGTTTGTTTAAAGTCCTGCAAATATACGTCCTAATCAAGTGTGTTAATTGATCTGTAATTCCACCTGACGACTAAAGTTTGGAATGTCAAGTGCCCAGAAGATTACTTACGCCCTTAAAGATGTTTCTGCGGTCACATCCTACCCACCAATATTATACAACAACGGTATTCTGAGCAATGTTGTGGTTTGAACGTTGATACCCTCGATTAAAAAAGACTAGTTAGTTTGTGGAACAAGATGTTACCGGAATCAGGATTCAAAACATTTGGATATTAAATTAAAAGTACTTATATATATTAATTGGCTGACAATACTAGAAGGGATTCTCCGATAGCGCTTTATGTTTTGCTGGAGCATGCCCTGACGCCAGAAAATTCGAAAATTTTGGATATGATACTATTCCCATGATTTGTCGTTATGCATCACAAAAACACAAGTGTAAAATATTTGTGCCTTTTGTATGAATTTGTATGTAAATGTCTTCAAATACAAGTCTTTTGTGACCTAAACTCGTTGAATGTGAAGTTAACATTTTCGGTGATTTCGCCTACTTACTTATTGACGAGTGTTACCTCTCGTGGAGGAACACAGGTCGCTGACCAGCATTCTCCATCCAACCCTGTCCTGGGCAATCCTTTCCAGTCGTCATTCATCCCTTTGATGTCTGCTTCCAATTCTCAACGCAGTGTGCTCTTTGGCTTTCCTCTTTTTCGTTCCCCTTCAGGATTCCAGGTTAGCACTTGCCTTGTGATGCGGCCTGGTGATTCCCTTAATAGATGTCCTATCGACTTCCAACGTCTTTCTCTAATTTCCTGCTTAGTTGGAAGTTGGTTTGTCTTCTTCCACAGTAGGTTGTCGCCGATGGTATGTGGTCAACGGACATTGAGTACGTTGTGTAGACAATTGTTCATAAATATTTGTACCTTCTTGATGATGGTTGTAGTAGTTCTCGAAGTTTAAGCTCCGTACTGTGACATCTATTGGAAGGTCTGTGGGTGTTGCTTCAATGTGCGGTGAGTTTAATGGAGCTTCTCTGTTCAAGAGTTCCTCGAAGTACTCTACCCACCTATTCCTCTGTCCTTGAATCTCGGTGATTGCCTTCTTTGCTTTTCATCAGGTCTTCCTGGTTTACCATATTTCAATGCTAGTTTCTTCGTTGTGTCATATAGCTGTCTCATATTTCCTTCTCGTGGAGCTTTCTCCGCTGCCGTTGCTAGTTTTTCCACGTATTTCTGCTTGTCGGCGTTAATGCTTCTATTCACTTGCCTGTTTGTTTCATTGTATTCAGCTTATGCCTTGACTTTCTCTGTTATTGTTCGGCTGTTGTCAATTGCCGTCTTTTTGTTCTTCCTTTCTTGAATCTTGTTCAGGGTTTCCATAGAGATCTGTAGTGGCACCACACAATCTTCAAAGCTGAACACAAGACTACTCAGAAAATAGATATTCAATATTCAACACGGAGAAATACCTAACAATGGAGAAGGCGCGAAGAATGAATTGAATGGACTGGAGTTGATCGAGTGGCATGGCTCGGCCATGCAGGCGTGGTCTCTGCTGAATGTTACCTTATATCTTCTATTCATATTAAATGTATTGTTCTTTCTCTAGCCTAACCTTGTTCTACAGCATGTATTGGTAATTGATACGATACA